TGCGACCCCTGACGATGTACACTAGTGTACGGTGAGGATCGACAGAATGAAGCAAATGGTGAATATGCGCGCGCGCGTACATCATGCCTAACCGATCGCTTCCTGACGTATGGCTTGCATGAGTAAAACGTAAAGAGGGTTTCATCGATACCAGGCGTGGCGCGCCGAAATGCGTACCTATTTAGCTACATGATCTGGCTATTAAAGCACCAGAAATTCAGAGATCACTGGAATCTTTCGTTGGGGTTCATTGTTCAGGGAATCTTGTTGTTCTGTCCACTCCTTTTGTATAGTCAAAAAAAAAAAAAAAAAAAAAAAAAAAAGAAATGATCTAGAAAACTCCGTATACGCCAGTTGTATATCCAGTGCCTTCCAAAGATTTATAATCAAAGGGCATGTACAGCTAGCTGTTGGGCGCTGTGTACTGTATAACAGCTCAAGAACTTCAACCCAATCCCTTAGTACGTGCGTTGATGTGCCTCTATCCTCTCCATGCCTTATCTCTTCTTTCCTGCTTCATTATTCTTGTTGTCTTTCCTCAGCCAGAATATCTCGGTCCCCCAATGATGAGATATGGAAAAGGGGGGAATAAAAAGAACCTGAAAAATTCCGTCGCTTATGCCTTCTCGAAACACATTGCTTCTTTCCAAAAGAATCCAACGTCCCTTTCACTCTTTTGTATACAAAGAAAAAAAATCATGTGCTTCACATGCCCAAAAGACTCATCTGCCTCCTTAACGGACTCGCACTCACGCTCCCTTCCTCGCTCGCATAACAAGCCGAATCAGTATCAATATCCCACCCTTCCTCCTCCTGTTCCCCACCTGCATCGCTTCCAGTCCCTCCTGAGGAAGCGTCAAAGGCCTTTTGCATCGCGCCGCGCGTGTTCCACCGCAATGTTCTAGAGACGCTGTCGAACCACTCGGCGTCGGTGCGGACGACTGTAGGGAAAGGGTATTGGGAGGCAGTAATGGTGACGCTATCACCCTGGCGGAGCTCGACGCGGCCCTTGCCATCGAAGGCACAGTAGGCGGTTGCACGGCTGCTGCGCGGGATGGTGACGCGGAGGAGCATGGTGTCCGAGAGGACCATGGGTCGGAAGGAGAGCGTGTGTGGGCAGATAGGCGTGAGAAGGATGGCGGGGATGTCGGGGTGGACGAGGGAGCCGCCGGCGGAGAGGGAGTATGCTGTTGAGCCTAGGTTAAAGAAGAATCACGTTAGCGCCCAGATCTGCTTTGATTGTGCTCATAGATGTGGTTGGACTTACCAGTTGGAGTGGAAAAGATGCAACCGTCCGCCTGGACGACGGTCAACAGCTCGTTGTCACCGTACAGTTCGAGGTTGGACACATAAGGCGACGGTCCTCGGTCAATGACCAACTCGTTGAGAACTTCGAACTGCTCCCCTTCCTCCATTTCTTGTCCGAGGGGCCCATCCCGGTATACCGTGCATGTGAAGCGCATGCGCAGGTTGACGCGCATACCTTCGTCACCCATGATGCGATTTAGGTGATCCTTGTATCTCTCGAATTCGAAATTGGTCAGGAAGCCCAAGCTCCCCAAGCTGAATGATAATACTGGCGGGACAATGCGCTGGAATAACCAAGATGTGAAGAGCACGGTGCCATCACCGCCCAAAGTGAGCACCAGATCGAACTTTTCGGGCTGACTCCAGCAAAGGTCTGGTGACCAATATTTGAGCATGGTTTGAAAGCGTGGATTCTCGTCGGTAATGCTCGTAGCGTTGAAGCGTTTCGAGTTTCGAAGCTTGGCGTCAACGTAGACGTTTACTCCCAGATCAGAGCCATAACGGGGGGTTCGGAGAAGCCAGAGGGCTAGTTCACGGGTGAGGACAACCAGCTGGTTGTCGCGGGCCTTGGTGACAATCATAACATTCTTGACGGCTCGTCGAATGGGCCGTCGCTGAAGCTGCTTGGACACTTCTCGTACACCAGTGGCCGTCTGAACAAGACGGGAATGCGACATCCACTCATCGTTCTTGATCTCCTCCAGCACCTTGTCGATGTCGACCGCGTCGTCGAAGCGGTTGTGGTAGAAGCATGGTGACTGTAGCGAAGTGCTGCCGGAGAGAGCGATGCCGTTGAGGGCATCGCACAGCTTCTGCGACGACGAAGTGGAGGGACGGTTGTCACCGTCCTGAGGCATGTTGTGTGCGGACAGCATGCCGGAAAGAGAGAGAGGCTCAGGTCTGTTGTTGCGGGCCACCGATGCCAATGCTTTCATAATAGTCTGCCGGGGCACAGACTCAATCGACAGGGCGTTCTTCTTATGTCCGGGAACGTGGGGTGGTGGTTGCGAGTGAGCGAAGGTGGAGGCTGACGCTGAAGCGGGAGAGAGCGCGGTTCGCACCGGGTTGTAGTCCGTCTGCACGGGGGTATCTAGCGAGATAAAGGGAGAAGCGAATGCAGGTTTGGGAGTCTGTCTGGGTGTCACAGAGTCAAGGCCTTCATGTCGGAGATTGGGGGTTCCAGCTGCGGTATCTGCGTCGGAGATGGCGCAATCCAAAGTTGATGCGCGTCCTAGAGTTGCATATGAACTCTTTGGGCGGTCAGCATCATCGGAGAAGCGTGCCTGGGGAACTCCATCGGAGGCACACTGATCCAAGGATGCGAACGACGGGCGGGTGCGTGGGAGCGGAAGGAGGAGCGGGTGTGGGTAAGATGGTGGGTGAGGAGAGTCAGAGGAATGGTTCTGGGCGTTGGGATGAGAGGTCCCAGCACTCCCACTCCCAGGCGCAGGCGAGGTGGCCGAATCGCTCAGCGCGGGGTGGATCGCTGTGGGTGACAGGATTGGGGCCGGCAGCGGCATGTTGACAGGTTCTCTGCTAGAGAACGGCATTGTGTTAGGTGGGTGGATCGATCGATATCGGTGGGAGCTGTCTCTGGTGCAGGTGCTACCGTAGTGGAAGATGCCGTTGTCTATTTTCGGCAGATCGTCCGCTTTGCTTTGCCGCAGCCCAAGTTTAGCCAGTTCTTTGTGCGGGCCAGGTACGAAATGCGCCGGCTCAGCTCACTGCTGGAAAAAAAGTCCGGTCGAGTTGGTGAGTGATTCGAGATCGCAAGTAGCCGGTGGAAGGCCGCACTGGGAAAACGCCCCCCTTCGATTGTAGGGTTGAGTATGGGGTAAAGTCACCGTTGGAGTGAGTAGTCCGTACAGTGTGTGATTAGTGCAAGGGCCGTTCCGATTGACTTATCGGATCGCACGGAACCAGGACAAAGGCGAAGGTCTGTGTGAGATGCGACCTGCTGCAACGCAATCTTATCGGTGCAACGGTGAATGCAACGCGGCGAAATCGGGCGCTGGAACGAATTGCGACGTTCCCAAGATAGTTTAGCTGCTTATGTTCCAAGCGAGATGTCTGTGCCTGGACGCAAACACGAGCAAGTACAAAGTGTCTGGGAAACAGATCAAACAACGGCGGCGGTTGTCTTGCGTCTCGAGATTCGCTGCAAGCTTGGCTTTGTAATCAATTCCAACGTGATGGCGCTGTCAATTTACACAATGGGCCAAAGAAGGGTCAAAGACAGAGGCAAATCTGGTAAGTTGTGAACGAGCAGTTAGCGGGTCCGTTGGTTTTCGGGGTATCCTGGTCGAGACTCGCCCAGACTCTCTATCATCTCCAAGTTGTAGCCAACATGGCGCTTGATGTGAGAGAAAGGCCGAGACTGCAGAGAAGGTGAAAGGGCAAACGTACCTGGGTTTGATATGCAGCTGTCAATAGTCTTAGTTGGGTGCGGGAATGCGAATAGAAGTTCCAAGATTAATCGATAGTCTTGTGCCGTGGTAGTTCTTCGACGTGATTAGGACAGTAAGTGGACCGTCAAATGACTCGAACTCGTCTGGGAATCCAACGGAGAACTGTGAACAGAAGAAATATTAAAAGAAGTGATAGAGATAGGACAGTGAGAACTACCAGAGTTCTGACAATGTAGCTGCATCCAGATGCAGAGAGAATGGAAGTCCTCGAATCAAGGGTATAGACAGCGAAAGTAGCAAATATGCACACGAATGAAGAGCAGACGATGAAGGCAGTATAACTAACATCAGCCGTGCTTGTGATTTAATACCACGAGACAAATCCGGGAGAGAAGTGGGGCGCCGGTGATAGGTACACTAGTAGTAGACGTTTCGGCGGGTCGCAATCTGTGAGATCAGGACGGAGCTGTTCGATGTATTCCGGATGCGGCACAGGGGTGGAGTTGGAGCTCCTAGGCTACCCCGGAATGTGTACACCAAACACTTATGTGTACACTATTACATATGTATAGTTGTTCTATTTTGGGACTCAAGTTTGGGGGCGTTCTTGTGCGGTTTCCTTTGGGTTACAGCATTATACAAAGAGCTGCAATGGCGGGTATCGAAACGCGGAAGCAGGTGTGTCAAGATGGGTGTATCTGCAGGAGAATATGGATACAGCACGCTGTATGTACGTACTAGTGCCTTCAGCTTCTCCAATCTCTTGGATGGTCCTAGTGCTTGTGACAGAGGCGTCCTCAGGGATTTCTGGCGTAACTCGAAGCTTCTCATCAGTCCTCCCACCCCTTTCCCCAATGTGATGCGAGGAGGGGTCCAGAGCATGGTAGACTGAAATTCAAGGTGTTAAGTTACGTCTCATGTATCCTGGTACTGCTGGGGTTTTGGAGGCGAACGTCCGGGGTACAGGCGCTAGCTCAGCCGCTCAGACAGCATCTCCCGGCACAGGTTGCCGAAGGACGCCGATAGTCCGTCTCCGGCCAGGGCGCAGGCAAGGCAGGGTACCAAAGCTCGATTCTGCATCAATCAATATGCCTTTGCGGTATTCAGCATCTGCATCACAACACAAGCGCTTTCGTTTCGCTATTCTCACTGCACAAACTTACACTGCACATCTTCATGACAGCCCCATGTGGTGTTCCGTGAAGCTCTGTTTGACCCGCTCGAATCAGACAAAGGCCGTTGTGCATTGATGCCGTCACAAGCCGCGTAGACAGCTAAAAAGATGGCGAACACGACCAATAGTCAAGGAGTCGGAATGGGACTAAGAATTGCGTGTTGCATAAGATCAAGCCTGACACATAGGGAGGCGAAGAATAGACGCTTTCGAAAAGCCCAACGCAGGGGCACCAAACCATCAGCTCGAGGCTCACAGCTGCGTGGCTCCATCATCCGGATTAGATAACTCCCACAACCCCAGTGCCTTATCGAAAGCACTCATAATATCCGTTCTAATCTTGTCGATTGGTTCTTCAGTCACACCCGGGACACCAAGACCGTAATGCCCCGTGACATCAGTGCCTGGGAAAGGCGACATGAAACAGGGGTCTGGCCCTGGCCTGGAATATTCAAACATACCCCCTATGTCGGACCCACCTCTTGTGCGTTTGAAGTGGCGATGTTTTGTCAAAGGAACCCGTGCATAGTCCACGTAAAATCTCGCTCGAGATAGTTATCCACTCCGTTGCGCTGATTGATATCCAACGCGATCACAATCTCCACTTTGCCGAGTGATGTGTGATTGTGCCGAGAGGGTAGCGGTTATCTTTGCAATGTGTCTGGTTCGTATCCGTCCAGACTGGCTTTTTGCCACGGATACAGGATTATCGAGTCGCATTGCAAGTTGCACTTGTCCCGTCAACCGGCGAAAAGGCCTATGAGTTCTCATTTCAGAAACATCATGAGCCGACTGTTCAACCCTTCGGCTTTTGAAACGCACGAGATACGAGCAGACAGTCCGGTCCGAATGTATCTTCACTTCCAGTGGAGGTCGGATGCTACTTTGGTCTCCAGCGTCGACCGAAGGAAATGGCGCATATCTGGGCTGGACGCGTCATCGTCAAGCACCATATCGATACCGTCCTGCTTTGAGGCAGTCTGACAGCAAATCTTCTGGGCATTTTCGTAAACGCCATCCCATTCCTTGACGGTGAAGTCACCTTCGCTTTCTGAAAGAAGCAGTTCATCGTGCGAGGTAAAAGCAAGGACGTGTAGCGAGGTTGCCTCTTTGATATCCTTGGGGGAGGGATCAGCCACGATCTTCTTCGAACCGTCGTCGGATACCACCGCCACCACTGTGGATGTAGCGGTTGCCTTCATTGGCACAGCAGCCGATAGAAGAGCGAGAACGGCAGTCTGGAGCAAGGCCGGTATGATGGGGAGGTTCTGTTGCCAGGATTAGTTATAGCCTACCAACAGAGGGAGAAAGGGTTCAAATTCTCTTACCAAACTGGCCTGGACCAGTTTTGTGTTGACGTAAGCATTTTCAGGCGTGCTCTCAACTTGAAGAACAATTTGGATGACAGAACGGGGAAAGTTCTTGACAAGGATGATTTGAGAAAGAGAGGACTGCAAAATTGATTCCAGATGGCGCTCTCGTGTTCCTATATAGAAAAGTAAAGTAGGTGAGATGTAGTCCTTTGCCTGGGTGGTGGTGGTGCCATTATGATGTTCTCACCTCCTACCCCGGCAGAGGGTCGTACGATTACATCAACGTGAGCCTCGTAAGCATGTTCGTCCCGACGCTGAGCCTCAATGGGTCCATTGACAGATGCCGTGACCGTGTACCCAGCATATGAGTATCTGGCCGATCCATCCGCCCGGGGAAGGGCGTTGAGAGACGCTTCAGGTGCCACGGTGGCCATGATGTGAGTAGTATTTGGGTCGGTGTGAGGGTAGGTGGGGCTTAGAATTTGGTTGACGGACGGCGGTTGAAATCAAGTGATGAGCGAGCTTGTTTCTGAGGCGCGAGTGAAGATTTGAAGGCGGGATGTTGAAGGCGGGATGTTGAAGGCGGGTCGTTCCTCCACGACGGGATCTGCAGCCCGGGCGCTAGCTTTTGAGGTGACCCCACTCCGTTCTTTCCCAGCGGCGGGCCCGCAGTGCCTGCCAAGCTTTCAGAAAGCTGCAGCCCAGCCAGCCAGTGGAACGAACTCACGAACGGCCGCGGGCCCGCCAAAGAACGCCATTACGCTTTCTGCCGTCAGCACTTTGCCTGCCCCACGATGGCTCTACGGCGGGGTAGACTAGAATGCTCACAGCGTCCAGGGGATTGCCCGTCACTACCTTGGGGTAGGTAGGTAAACTTCCCTTCCACCATCCACACTCGTACCCTTCCACCTACATCACGGAACCACTCTCCCCAGCTTGTTCCATCAGTCATCTTATCTAAAATAACGAGTACGGTCAACTGCAATACCGACCACGGAGAAGCCTACCTTCACACTGCTCAGAACATCCAGCTTTCATCCATCATGGACTCATCGGCGACAACAGGAAGGTCAGGCATAGGCACCGGCCAAGGATCGCCAGCAGCCTCAGGACAACCCATCTCCAAAGCCGGCCAGGCCATCCCGAATCTACGAGACCGTATCCCCAAGCTAGAGCCCAGGCGACGGAAGCAGGAACCATCGAACCCGACTCCGGTTCCAGAAACCCCCGCCCTACCTCCGCGCCCCGACCCATCCACTCTGGTGTTCCAGACGCCCGTCCGGCGGATTCTTCTCCGAAAAGACCACGAGCTCTTCCTGGCCTCTCCCTCTTTCAATCTCATCCTCTCTTTCGTCTTCTCCCTCTCTGAATCCGTAGCCGACACGCCCATCTCGGCTATCAAGGACTCTGACCTGAGCGAGCCCGTGAAGGCCATCCTTCGCATCCTTGACGAGACCGAAGCGTTGTGCAAAGAGTCGCCACCAAACGACCAAGGCGGCTCCCGCTTCGGCAACAAGACCTTCCGTCTCTTTCTCGACAAGGTCAAGCAGCGCGGACATCAATGGCACGCCGCCTTTCTGGGAGGCAAACTTCCCGACGCTGCCGTCACTGAGGCCTCAGCCTACCTCAACCAGTCCTTCGGCAACCGCACGCGCATCGACTACGGCTCGGGTCACGAGCTTAACTTCATCATGTGGCTGCTGTGCCTGTACCAGCTCTCGGTCCTCGAACAATCCGACTTCAAAGCCGTCGTGCTCCGCATCTTCGCCCGCTACCTAGAAGTTATGCGCCTGATTCAGATGACGTACTATCTCGAGCCAGCAGGCTCGCACGGCGTGTGGGGGCTGGACGATTACCAGTTCTTGCCATTTCTGTTTGGTGCCAGCCAGCTGTTGCATCACCACTTTATCACGCCACGGGCGATCCATCAGGAGCTGACGCTGGAGGAGTTCGGGCATGACTTTTTGTACCTGGGCCAGGTGGCGTTCGTCAATAGCACCAAGACGGTGAAAGGTTTAGGGTGGTATAGTCCGATGCTGGATGATATCAGTAACGCCAAGAATTGGGAGAAAATTGAGGGCGGGATGAGGAGGATGTTTGTGTCGGAGGTGCTGAAGAAGTTACCGGTTATGCAGCATTTCTTGTTCGGATCGCTAATTCCTGCCGCGGAGGGTATGAGCGAACAAGATCCCAATGCCTTGGGTAGCGAGGAAAATGAAGAGGAGGGTGGCGAGGTGGAGGTGTACGACGATAGTGATGGCAAGAGGCATGTTCATCAGCCGACTGGCTGGGGCGATTGCTGCGGTATCAAGGTACCGAGTAGTCTGGCGGCGGCGGAGGAAATGCGGAAGAGGGGACAGGTGGAGAGTTTGAGAAGAATACCTTTTGACTGAGGTCGATGTTATATCTTAGTGTAATGTTGATCTTGTTCCTGTCTTAGTGTATTGTTTATCGTGTTCCTGTTATATCTGCTCGACGTCACTCTATACATCAAGAGTAATAATCAAGCCGCAAAGACTACAAAGGTCATACTAACATGCTCACGAACTATCCTGTATCGCTAAAGGTCTAGCGGTGGTATAATAGCGTTATCAAAGCCAGACAAAGTTCACTAGGGTCTGACACTTTCACGTAACTGCGCCTTCACAGGCTGTCATTAGGTTGGGCCGGGTATTCGATTTCTTCGACGATGAATCGGGTAGCAGAATTGTGGAGAAATGACGGACTGCGTTATGTTGAGTAAACAGAGGCTGATGGAATAGCAAGAGTGAATGGGCGAAGTACGACATCATGTTCCTTTCAAATGCGCTGTGCCTACGATGTAAGCTTGTCTGTATCTTCGGCATGTCCAACGTACCCGTACAAGATTGCTATCGATGCGTCAAGCTGTCGAGCGTGGATGAGCAAGCATAGTACGCTAGGAAAGCCACAACAGAGCAAAGAGCACATTCCACAACAAATCACAATCCAATTTTTTGATGATATGAAGAGGGCTAGGCGAATCCTTTAGAGCGCTTATGACTAACTTATTCAAGCCGTAGGGAAATCCGATGGTAACATACAGTCCAACTCCATTCCAAGGCCCCAACCAATAGTCGCTAAACGAAACGAGCGAAGGAAAAGGAAGAAGGCCGCGAAAAAAAACGACAGATTGACCTCATTCATGATGATGGCTGAAAAACGAAACCCACACCACATTCATCGCAAAGTGCTTTGCTTTACCCAACGCACAAGAACGGCTGCTGCCATCGGCGTCCTTCGACTGTCGGACACCCATGCAGAGAGGGTATCGAAGGGAATAATTCCATCCCCACCAAACGCCGCCAATATTTCCCAATGGTTGAAAGAGTTCGATGCCGATATGCTTCGTAAAAAAAAGGAGAAAAGACTGGAAAAAAGCCGCCGCCCAGTATGCAAACAAGATAAACCTCGTCCTCGTACCCAGATCGGGAACACCGGGCGCATCTGCCTGTCTGGGTGTCGCTACTGTGACGGACGTCGTTCCTTGGTACTGTACCGGACCAAGAGAAACACACCACTGACAGGTCCGAAAGGTTTAATCCTCCCAAATAGTCTCCAAATCGAGATCCTGTCTCCTCTCCGCACCGCAGACACTCCACCGCTTCCGCTTGTCTCTGGAAACAAACCCTAACGTCCTGCCTCGCGACAAAGCATCCGCATTCGCTTTGCTTTTGGTATCACCGCCACCTTCCGCCGCCTCCGCTTCGGCCTTAAGCTGCGCGATTCTCTCGGCTTCTAGAGCGGCCTCCTCGGCATCTGGGGTGTCTGGGATGGTTTCAAGACTGGAAATACTGGGGCTCCTGGATCTCATGGAAGTAGGTGTTGAAGGCATGGAGGTTGTATAATAGTTGCTGGAAAATGAGTCGTAAGCTCGGTAGGATGGCGACGATGCGACTGAAGTAGGAGTTGATGGTACGGATGACAACGATGTGGTGCTGGCATGATGAACAAGCCGTAAAGGTGAAGAAGGTCTTCGTAGTCGGGCCGTTGAAGTTACTGTAGATGTTGACCCAAGGGTTAGGTTTGGCGAGCTGTTTCTCTCGGAAAGCTGCCTTTCAAGGTCATGGACCGAGACACGAGTTGGCGAGGAAGGGAAAACTTCGTCGACTGGTTTGCGCAAAGGACGGACCCGGCTCGGCGACTGAGCAGGGCTTTGTGGCCGGATATGTGGTGAGAAGAGAAGATGACCGGACCCGTTTACGCCGGGCATAGACTGAGTGCGCGCCATGGGTGGTGCTAAGTTTACTGCAGACCTCGACCTGACATGAAGCGTAGACAGCGGGGATGAGGCGCGAGGGCGATATGGAAGAGTGGGAGTCGACCAAGATGGCGAGGTGGGGGACGCTGGAGAGGGGTCGGTTGATCGGCGAAGGGTGGGCGGCTTGCGCAAGTAGTCGAACTCGGGTGCGTTGACTCTCAGACTGGGAAGAGGAGAGGGGCGGAACTCCTCCATTCGCTCGGTCTCTGGGACGGGTTCCATGGTGATGGGCGTGGCAGTCGATGCTCTCTTAAAACCCGACCTGTAATTACCTCGACACAGAAATCATGGACTGGCGCAGAAAAGGATGGAATACGGAAGACGCGAGCGAAATGCAACAGGTATTTCTGTGATTTCTAAATCCGGGAGGCTGTCGCAAAACACTGCACTGGGCGCAGCAAACAAGATATCCTTGTCTTTTCCCCCGAGACAACAATGCTTGGGAATCGGGTCAGGGTCAGGTCGGATTCGAGGGTGTGGTTTTCTTTCTTGGCCTGGACTGAGGTACCGGGCGGGCTAGGTGACCTGGATCTGGTCTCGGTCACTGGGATGGGGATGGGACATCCAGTCTCCAGTCTCCAGTATCCGGCGATGTATCCGGTACCCGTCGATGGAAAGCCCTGGCGGTAGGTGCCGTGCCCGCGACAATGCCTGCGAGCGAGCTTTGAGACGGTGAATCCACGCCTGCGTCGCACACAGGACGGGGGGATGATTCTGTTGACGTGATGGTAAGAAACTGTTTCTGTGCTCAGCGAGAAAAAGAAAATGGAAACCCTTTGGGGGAAAAAAAAAGGCGGTGGGCGGAGGTGGTTTATTTGCTGCGGCACGGTAACCCGCAATGACCTGGAACCTACCTCTACCTAAGTATTCAAGGGACAGGCACCTGCAGCTGCGACTGGCAGAGCGGATGGCAAATGGAGACGACAGGATGAGAACCTGAAAAAGGACAGGGCCGATTCCTGCAGCTGAGAGACCGAGAGAGCTGGGACGGTTCTGGAAGCTAGCCCGCAAAGTGGGCAAATCCAATGGCCAGGGCAATGCACTGCAAGTGACGGGCAAGACTGGACTTTAATGCTGGTCGATGCGTCGAGTGCAGTGCGCTCAGTGGGCAAGGAAACGATGGCCACTGGGGTAAACCCGTGAATGTGAATGGCCAGCTTCCACTTCCTTGGTTAAGATGAACCTAAAGGTTTGAATCGTGAAGGAGGAATGGCGCAGCGATGCCCGTGCTTGTACGGCAGCAAATCGATGGCATGAACGGGCCACAAAAACCTAGAGGCAGCCTGGTATTGTAGCTGAGTGAGTGATGGAACTACACCACTTGTCTGATCTGACAGTCTGACAATGCCCGGGCCGGTACGTACACTAGCAACTTAGCAAGAGGAGGAGTCCCCAGGCCGGCGAACCAGAGTGGAGGGGTGGAGGAGGCGGGGTCTTTTACCCGGTAGCGACACGTCGTATGCACCAATCAAATGGCCTAGCACTGGCCCATGATGGCTCAGTGGAGCGCACCATCCTCCCATCAAAGCAAAACCCATGAACATCCGGACAGTCGCACACCACCTTCCAATTCCTCCTCTGCCGCCGCCGTCGCTCTTGCGCGCCCTCGTAGTCCAAAAGCCGGAAGCCGCAACTGGACCAACTGAAAGCCGTCAATGTGAAAACCCTGGAGGACGGAGATCCCGATTGACGCTCCCTTGGGCCTAGCGCCGGTACCGGTACGGCGTAAGCGAACCAAGCCTGCCACGCCCCGGCCTAAGTGTCCCGAGGTGTTAGCGCGCTGTCGACAGAATGACTGGCAGCATGATTTCTCCGTAGGGGTCTGTTGACCCCTAGCAGGACCCAGTTGAAAACGCTCGACCTTGTTCGCACATTCCATTCGGCCTCCCGAAACCGCAGCTCTCGGGGTTTGGCTTTTCATTTGAAGGTGACGGATCTTCAACTCTCACGGTCGTCGGTTGGAGCCGTTTTCCGGTTCAAAGGACCATCGCCTCTCAATCAGGCTTGATCATCACTTTGAGAGACGGGTCTAACGGGTCAGGCGGCTTTCACGTTGAACGCAGCACTTGACCCCAGAAGGATGCCAATAACAGCCTGAAATGCAGACCGTATTTGCTACCCCAACCAGCCTTGAGTACTATGTACGTACTTACTTTGATAGTAGAGAATGAGAGGAGACACGGCTGAAAAGGCTCACATGCACATTACCTTTGAAATCTTTTAGTGTACTGACTTTTATTGATAGGAGGACACGCCGGTATCCCGAAAGTTGTGGGGCGACATGGTATCAGACAGCACTTTTTGTAGTGCACACCTTTCACCAACACCCCTTTTGGATGGCAAGTTCGATATCACATTCCAGGTGCAATCAATCAGGTCCGACGGTGCGTAAGGTGGTCCGTACGGTATTGTTCTATTGTTCCTGTCCGGGTTGCCATCAATGTCTTCGATCTGGGGCATTTTATCAATTAATTACCCAGCCACTGCTGGTCTGTTTGCTTATTGTCGTCGGTCTAACCAGTTGATGTGGAAACCACTCAACCGTCGAGGCAAGGGGAGAAAACGTGCGTCTACTTGTCCCATCAACCAATCCATCACCATTATGGATTATCGGCTTGTGACGAGTCCCTACAATATGCACGTGCAAAATCCGTACATCCACTCAATACCTGTCCTCCCCATCACGCTTTCCAAGCAAGCATATTGTCCCCTGAAGGTCGAGCGGTGAAAGCATAGTAACACATGCTGGGAATATGGAGGGACAGATGACCATGGCACCTGGCACCAGTCAAATGGACTGAATCATGCGCGCCACTACTTGTGTTGACAAACCAGGTAAGCCATTCAGGCCTTTGCCTCCCCAAACCTCCAAATCCGATAGCCTCGATGCACAATTGGTCCCCCCCTGTATCGCTGTGCTTGCTCTTTACACTGCTGGGAAGGAGGGGAAAAGGGGGGAGGGGGTTAGCATGTTACTTGCAGCCTACACGAAACTAAAATTTCTTGCTGTAGTGTATAACTGCTATTCTTCTGTAAACACCTGCTTTTTGCCACCGCTCTACACTAACGGTAAATTCACAAGATCCAAATATCCCCCTCGCCCGGGCGCCGGGCAGAGGTGTACTATGTAGTGTATACTACACACAATTGTGTACATCGTCTGCGCCGTCCAATTATATGACTGGCAAGAACCGGAAAGTCATGCACGACGGATGATGATGAACCTGCCATTATGCCAGGGCAGCGATGACCGCGCATGGAGTGCGGCACTTGTCAGTGGTTCAGATTAGTTTACTCTGTGCCTAGAGGTATGCCTCCGTGATGAAAGTATCTCGTTGGCCGGTGATCACACATGTTAAAAATGCAGAACGGGGATTCTCCTGATTGGTGCATATAGGCCCACACGCCCTCCGATTCCCCGCCCGAGTGGATGTCCGTTCCGAAAGGGACAATGCTACGGGGCCGGGCCGAGATGCGGGTGTCGAACCCGGGGCCCACTCCGAATATGCTGAGCCTGAATGACCGCGAGTACGGAGCTTCATAGTGTACATATTCAATGCCGGAATCCCCTTCCAGTGGCAAGGGTAAGGAGCGAGAAGAAAGGCAAGACTGCGCATTCCCAGATGCTTCATGATAAATGATTGCCCTATGTCAATGGCATAAAATTTGTTGACAGGCGGTTGCATGTCGATTTTGGCCATTTACATCCACTCCGTAGAAATCCAATGCCGTGTACAGTCGAGCCGCCTGACTGTATCCTAGCGTTGAGCAAGTTGCAAGGCGAAAATTGATAAGGCAGTTCTGCCTGGTTTAGACGGTACACGAACATAAAAGTGAAAGGTGGATGATTCTGGTATGATTAATCGTGACTCACAGTGGCGACAGGAGCTCCTCCCTGCTTGGCCTGCTTGGGCCGTGGAAACTGAATTTGACATTTCTCGCAGCCCTCTTTTAGTGGGGCCGGGCAGCAACGACAGGCGGAGAATGCCCGGAAACGCCACCAACTTACCCTCCTGGAGCCATTTCAGTCCCCGTTAGTAATCTTACCGTACCCGTCCACGCCTTCTCTTCAAAACTTCAAAGGCTTCACTCCAGTCCAGGCTCACCAAGTGGAGGTTCTTATTCCGGCTGCGGCTTGCTTAAAAAGCGCGACATTGCTCTCTCAAAATCGTACCTACTGAAGTATTCTTCTCACTTCGGAATCCGTTGTCTGTTTGCACTTTTGCGAGTTCATCTTGAGCTTGTACTTTGGGTGCACTTGAGCCCAGTGTTCATTTTTCTTTCTTTCACTATCTGAAGACGCTGTATTTCAAAAAGCGCATTCAACGATACGATACGGATCATATCTTGGCCAGCTCATCGCCACCTAGCAAACAGTCGCAACGAGTCTTCCAACATCGCAGTGGCGTCAAATATTCAAGGACTGACGAATTCAAACATCACCATGGCGGACGTTCAACCCGCTACCCATCAAGGCGGTTCTGACAGGGGAGGCAGGGGAGGCAGAGGCAGAGGCAGAGGCAGAGGACGTGGAGGCAGGCCACGGAGAGGTCATCATGGTTCCGAGCGACCAAACACCGGTGGCGATGCCAGTCAACCAGTGCAATCCGCCGAATCCTCAAGGAACCTCTTAGAAACGGCGAATGTAAACGTACCCCCACCATCGGTGCTTACGCCGGATGCGCCCTCAGGACATTCAAGGGAAGAAGGAGAAGGACGAAGGAGGCGAGGAGGTGGAGGAGGTGGACCTCGGCGCGGGAGAGGAGTCTCATCTGCTCAACGATCGATCGTGGTATCCCATCGAGGACGGGCACCACCTCCAGGGACAGCGGCGGCTCCGTCCACTGCTGAAGAGCACGACACTGCATCAGGCGCCGGATTAAGCGCGGATGCTCCCGCTTTTGTCCCCGGCCAACCACTTGCAGTCCCAACCCAACAACCTAGAGCTGCCGCTGCGAAACGTCAAAAGGAGCATCGTCCTGCGCCATCCAATACCTCCAAGTCTTCGGCGCCTGACTTGACCACCCGAATCCACGAGGATATTGCTTCAGGACTTTACGAATGCGTAATATGCACCAACGAGCTAACGCGCAATACTCGAATCTGGTCATGCTCCGTCTGCTGGACTGTCACTCACCTTTCGTGCGTCAAGAAATGGCATGCCAACCAAGAGAAAAATGCGGAGCAGCAGGAGCAAAGTGCTGACCAGCCATTGTCTTGGAGGTGTCCAGGCTGCAACTCGCAACTTGTCGAGAAGCCCGGACCGGATCGCTGTTGGTGCAAAAAGGAGATTGATCCGAAACCTATCCCCGGACTGCCTCCTCATACCTGTGGACAAACATGTTCTAAGCCTCGGGCTACTTGCCCCCATCCGTGTTCATCGATGTGTCATGCGGGACCCTGTCCGCCATGTACATTGATGGGGCCTTCTCAGACTTGCTATTGCGGCAAGCATACCTCGACGAGACGGTGCATTGAGACCGAGTATGGCAAAGGTTTCAGCTGCGACGCGGTTTGCGGCGATCTACTCCCATGTGGAGAGCACTTCTGCTCTCAAATTTGTCACCCTGGGCTGTGCGGAGCTTGCGAGATTCCTCTCTTGTCGACATGCTATTGCGGAAAGGAGCAGAAGGAAATAGCATGCGATCAACGCGATGAGATCATGGATTCTTTCAATTACGGACAGCTACAGAATTCCTCAGAGACAGCTGATTCGGACTCCTGGTTTGAAGGCTTATTCCGGTGCAGCAACATCTGTGGCAGAACTTACGACTGTGGACATCACACGTGCCAGAAGCCTTGCCATCCACAAGATGAAGATTCGACACACTGCCCGTTCTCTCCCGATGTGGTCACTCATTGCCCATGCGGCAAAACCCCACTAACGTCGTTGCCAGTACCTCCGCGGCAATCATGCGAGGACGCGATACCTCACTGCGATAAACCTTGCCAGAAGGTTCTTCCTTGCGGCCATTTGTGTGAGATGAAATGCCACATTGGCCCCTGTGGGATGTGTTCGAAGGTCGTCGAGATCTCGTGCCGTTGCGGCAGGACAGAGACCCAGTCAGCCTGTCACCAGGGCACGATCGAACATCCAATGTGCTTCAGGGTTTGCAGGGTTCAACTCAACTGCGGCAGGCATGAGTGCGGCGAGCGTTGTTGTCCGGGCGAGAAGAAGGCCGCAGAACGACGCAAGAAGAAGAATCGGGGTCCGAATGAGAATTATGAAGCGGAACACATCTGTCTTCAGGTTTGTGGCCGCACACTAAAGTGTGGTCAACACACATGTCAGCAACTCTGCCACAAGGGTCAATGCCCGTCATGTGTGGAAGCTGTTTTCGACGAGATTAGCTGCAGTTGCGGGCGCACTGTCCTCTACCCTCCTCAGCCCTGCGGAACGAGGCCGCCCGAGTGTCGATTCCCGTGTAGACGGCGCCAGCCATGTGGTCACCCTACTGTTCCTCATTCCTGTCATCCAGATGACACTCCTTGTCCGAAGTGTCCATCATTGATGGACAAGCTTTGCATCTGTGGAAAGGAGATCATGAAGAATCGGCCGTGCTGGAACAACGAAGTTCACTGTGGACTGCCTTGTGGAAAGAAGCTTAAGTGCGGATCACATGTGGGCAAGAAGACATGCCACAAGCCAGGCGATTGCGAAGATGCCGGTATCCCTGGCTCCCACTGCACCCAGGCTTGCGGCAAAGTACGCAAGTCTTGCGAACATACTTGCGCAGAGCAGTGCCACGCTCCGTATCCTTGCAAGGAGGACAAGCCTTGCCAGTCCAAGACCTTCATCACCTGTCCATGCCAGAATCGCAAGCAGGAAGTCCGTTGCATGGCCACGATGCTGAGCCCGTCGTCGGCGCGGGAGTCTTCGCTGAAATGTGACGACGAATGTCTCCGACTGCAGCGGAACCGCAAGCTAGCCAATGCCCTCAAGATCGACGACACCCACACGGACGACCACATCCCTTACTCCGACAAGACCCTCAAGATGTTCAAGGAGAACGTCAACTGGTCCCAAACTCAGGAGCGGGAGTTCCGCGTCTTCGCCTCCTCGCCCGACGAGAAGCGTCTCAGATTTAAGCCCATGCCCTCCTCCCAACGCGCCTTCCTGCACAGTCTAGCCGAGGACTTCGGCCTCGACTCCGAGAGTCAAGACCCCGAGCCTCACCGGCACGTCTGCATCTTCAAGACCCCGCGGTTCGTCGCTGCGCCCTCCAAGACACTTGCGCAGTGCGCCCGTATTGCCAAGGCCACCGCCAGTCTCCTCAAGCCCGCAGCAGCTGCCCCGGTCGTCGCTCCCCCCAAGCAGGAAGCCTTCAACGCACTGCTCCTCAAGGAGCCCCGGTTCGGCCTCACCATCGAGGAATTAGACCAGGCCCTTGCCGCCGATATCAAGAGCGTGGCCAAATCCGGCTTGACAGCCGTCGGTTTCACCACCAACTTCCTCCCCACGGAGGAAATCCTGATCAAAGCCGTGCCTGCTTCTACAGCAGCGGCCATCGCCAACTCCCCCATCGCGCCAACACCGCAAGCCATCGAGTCCGCTCTCATGACGCTCAAGTCCGCCGTGACTAAAACAGTGTCTCTTTCCAAGTTGGCCACCGGCGGTGTGGTGCTCTGCCACGCTGATGACTCGTTGAACGTGGTCCGGAGAGAAGCCGAGAGTGGAAGAGGAGGCGTGGGTGGCTGGAATGCGGTTGCCAGTCGCGGGTCTTGGGGACGGCTTGGAGGTGGTTCCAAGACGTCGACAGCCGAGCCCGAGAAGGCGGCAGCTCCGTTGACGAGGTCATTTGTTACGCTCAGGAAGATTATGGAGAAGAAGCCTGTGGTGGAGGTGAAGAAGAGGCCGGAAGTTGTGGAGGAGGATTGGGAGGCTGCTGCAGAGAAGGAGGAGGAACAGGAACAGGAGAAGGAGAAGAGCGGTACATCGGGATCTGATTCTGAAGGGGAAGCGGAAGGACAGTCCAAGATTGTCAGTGTAGATGGTGATGTCCAGGAAGGGAATGGGGTGACATCGGATACAGAACGGAGTGTTGACACTGCTGCGCATGAAGAAAAGGAACCCGACCAGTCGTTGGTGGATGGAAGAAGTTCGTCTGCCTCCGGAGAACAGGTGGAGATCGAAACTGAAATGGTGGCGGCTACGATGAATGCTTAGAAGTTATACACTGGAGCCACCTGCTTGTATTGTGTAGGATTATATGAATTATTTAGTGAAGGATGATTTAGCGAAGGACACGCGCAAAATAACATTTCGACCAATGTCGATAACAGGCTTGATCTTCGTTTCGAACTTCTCCGTCAGATTTACTTGTACATTGCTTTGGCTTTTGCTTTTTTTTATTTTTTTTATTTTATATTTTTTTTTTTTTTATTTCCTTCTGGTAGGTTACCCTTGCCGGAACCCGTCATGTATTTATCCAATATCAAAAAGCCAGGTGCAAAAGCAAAAGGAAGGGACATCTCCTATCAGCAAGTACCACCAGTACAAGAAACATCCACTTGGTCCTCAAGCAAAGCGCCAAAATGATATCGCACAGGTAAATGGGTACGAAGAAGATAAACATAAATCTCTACAGTATCCGACCACAGTTTTCGCGCAAGGATGGTCGGTCGTTGCACACTGATGATGAACCCAGATATAATCCACCGTTCGACAAAGGAACAGACACAGTATACTTAACACGCTAATCAACGCCAAGATCTGGTGATAGCTTCATCATCGTCGTCATCCGTTCCTTCTTTTCTCTTAGCATACATACATATAGACCAAACAAAAAACTTCGCAATTAACTCATCATCTCACACCACCACCACAAAATTAAGTGCCAAAAAAAAAAAAAAAAAAATGGGAGACAATGGTAGGAATCCAACGGCTGACGTCTTGCCTAGGTGGAAGCGAGTAAGTAGAAGAGCCCTATTGCGCGTAGCCCGAAGACGCCACCTTAGGTACAGTTGACTTCCAGGGAAGTACTCCCCCCCCGCCGCACAAAAGGCGTTTAGGCTCCCGTCCGTCGCCTACCTAGGTGCCCTACGTGCGGCGGCGGGGGTGGTACTCCTGTCCTGCCTGGCGTGTGGTAGGTAGCGCAACCCTCTGGGGAGCTGGAAGTGCAGTGCAATGAGAGCTCACTCGGCGCTCCACACCGCTCGACCACAATGCCCACTTGTCAGTTGATGAATACTTGGGTGAGTGAGTTGGGGTCATTTATGAACCACACGCATCGAGGGGGATCGTTTGGTGTTGGACATTGTACACCCGGCCGAGGGGGGGTAATGAGGAAGATGAGCTCCAAGATGCATATCTGTTGGTTGTTCCAGTATTTGCGACTTTTCGAAATGTAAACAGAATAAAGTAGTAACACATGGTATGGGTATGGTATAATTCCAACACAAGAAGAATAGACAGGTGTGCCCCTCAAACGCCGTGGCACACCATCTTCGTTCCTTCTTTTTTGTTACATTGTTGTCCGTGTTTTATATTTCTCGTGCTTTTTTCCCCACCCCAAGCATCTACTTACTTAAACACAGAACAATACAATTTCCCCCCTATCGTTCCTCCTCATCCTCAACGACCGCCACAGCTCCTTCTCTTCCGCCAGCTTGCTCACACTAGTTCCCGACGCGCTGCGCTCGCGGTGATAGCGCTTCAGTGCCTTGTTGAGGCTTACACCCTTATCGCTCTCGGGGCCCTTGTTGACGAAGCTCAGGAAGCGCTCGGCGCGAGGCTGGAAGATGACGACCTGGTTATCCTTGTCCTTTTCGACGGCGCCGTCCTTGGAACCGGGCGTGTACTCAATCATCTTTTGCTCCTTGGGTACCTCGAGCGACTTGCTGTGGCTATGCTTGTGCTTCTTGGACGACGGCGACGCAGACGATGACTTCTTCTCCTTCCCTTCCTTGGTGTCCTTCGATTCCTTCGTCTTCGAGGACTTGCTCTTCTTGAGCTTCGAACCAGCAATCATGGCCATCAGACTGTTTCCAAGACTCTCTGATTTGTGGTGCTTCGCGTGCTTGGACTTCTTGAGTGGGCTAGCCGGTGTCTCCGCGGACTCTGGCGAGGGAGGGAAGACATCGGGTCTGCTCATCATGCGGCTGATTCCTCCAGTCAATCCGGAATGCAAAACGGGGGGCGCGTCGGTCATCGGATGGTCTGTCTCGATGTGAAGTTCCCTCTTCCTCTTCTTGTCCTTCTTAACCTCCTTCTCTCCACCTTTAGACTTCTTCTTTGGCGCCGGGGTTTCGTGGTGAACAACAGCGTTCTCTGTGGTCTCTTTGGTCTTGGACTCGTAGCGTACCATTTCGTTGCTCTCCTTCTGCTCAGGCTGCTCTTCCGCAACGGAAACGCGCGAGGTCGTTGGCGTAGGGTTGACCATGTAGTCGAAAACGTTAACAGGAGCCTCAGTTGCTGAAGGAGGAGTGGGTGCCTGGGCAGGCGCATTGCCGTTATTGTCGTACTGGCGCCATGTGTCAAAGTCCTCCGCAACCTCCTCGACATACGCGGGTTGCGCCATGGCTTGGACGTTATTCTGGTTCCTGTTCTGGTTTGGATTCTGATTCTGATTTTGTGCGCCTTTTCCTTTCTTGGGTCGATACAAAGCACCCTGATATTTTTGCTCTTCCGTCATACAACTCTAAAGAACAGTCAGCGGGGATCAAGTCCAAAACGTCAACCGTTGGGCATTGCGCGACTTGAGCTAGATGGGATCCTACCGTATGGGAGCGATATTCAGTACCCGGGAAGTGGGTCATACAATCAATGCAGGTGAAGTTTGCACCCCAGCAGCGTTGGCGATGCGGGTCGAGCTTCTTTTTGGTCAAGACGTCGCCGCAAACCTGTGATAACCCAAGAAATGAGTGGTTAGATAACAATACGTGTAACTGGGAATTGAAGTTTGAGAGAGAAAGCAAGAAGATATGAGCTAAGTTTGAGTCAAGGCAGGCCAAACAAGTAGCCGACAGAAGATGTGAAGGGGTGAGAGAGCCAAGGACGGGTAGGGAGACCAGCCGGATCAGCTCTAGATAACGAGGGGCGTGCGGAAAGGTGAAGAGGGGTGGTTGTTAGTGGTGCACAGGGACACCCTTTCGTTGGTGGTTACCCGGGGAGATGGTGGGCGGGAATGTGTGTGATGTCAGTTTAGATTGCCCTTCTCGGACAGCAAGGGGATGAGAAGGGGCGAGATGTCTGACAGGGAGAAGAGAGTTGGGGCATTGGGGTGTACTATGTACTTTGTGTCAAACCTGGAGGCAGGTCAAGGATTGATGGAGGGGTGATAGACCGAGAACCATAAGTAGGTGGTATAACCACCATTATATGGGATGTTCCGAATGATGAAGGAGGGAAGCGTGCCATGGACAGATGTCATACAAATGCATCTGCGCTAATCGACGAGGACACATGATTACCACGCTAGGATTGTGATGGTTTGCGACTTACTTCACAAGAAAAGGACACCATGATTGCAGTCTGGTGTGTTGTCTCGAACGGTGAAACAAAGTTTAATTCCAATTGGCGAAGAGTGAGCAGAGGTTAGGACGACTTGCTCAGGTCAGCGAGTCACAGTGTGGTCCGGCGTCGAAGTGCTCTATTGCGGGCGGCTGAGTAGGATGATCCGCCAGGAGTTGGTCTGACGGCTGGTTGAGTGCTCAAGCGAACCTAGCGATGCGTCTTTGGTGTTGATTGTCGACGATAAGATGTTGGGCCGCAGAGTCTCAACAGGCCGATTGCGACTTCACGCAACCTTGACTATGCTTTCTGGTGCAGATCTTGCCAGAAACGAACAGCACTCAGATGGGGGCGCAAGTGAGCTGTAAGACTGCAGGAGGCTGAGTGCGTCTTTAGCAGAAGGCAAACGGGCTGAGAAGACAACAGTCAATGAGAGTGGACTGGACGGTGGCTCGGTGCGCCGAATCAGACGAACAGGTCCAAAGCTGAGATGAAGCACAGAATCTGACAGACGGAACGGACCTCTAGGGCAGGACTAACACTTTGAGAACTCCCGCCAATGCCGACATGTACGAGTGGGTGGCCTTTGCGTCTGACAACTTTTAGTTGGGATTCTGCGCTTGCTTGGCTGGTGTTGCGATTTGTCGGAATTTTTGTGTGCCGATAAGAACTGGAGAAAAAAAAAAAAGAGTTTCCCGAATGCCCCAGATAGGTGGTGGTGAGGATTGGCTGCAGTTTAGTCTAGGCGTTGATGCATTTTAGCGCGAGCGGGTCCGTTGCTGCAGGAATTTAGGCCCCACCCGCGAATCCACAGTGTAGCCCACCTGTCCCGCCCGGGCCCGTCTTTAGCTCGTGGCTCCCCTTCCACTTTCACCTTGTTGGCGTTACTAATCCCCTGCCGATTCGCGTTCCAAGCTGAGACCCAAATGCCAACTCAACCTGAATACTTCAAGGCCAGTAACCTCACCGTCAAGCCTTGCGCGTTCCTTTACAGACGGGACATTCTCTTTACCTATCAGTGCTTCTGTAAAGCGAAAGCCTGACGGATGGCCTGACCTGGGGGTCCATCTCACTTAGCCACAACATACCTCGAATCGAAAGACTTTCCGAATCATGCCAGCCGCATTGGGCAACCAAGGGAACCAGCTGACAAGGGCCAGACAGCCGCTGAGCGGAGGCGTAGAGGCTGTAGCGCCTACCAGCATCTCGACACACAATACACGGATGAGGCGCGCTACTGGTTGGTTGATGCACCCCAAGCGCGTTTCAATTCATATAAAAAAAAGAAAGTCAAAGCGGCCTTCTTAACTACAACAACGCCTGGGGTAGGGGGAAAATCAGATGTAACCTAACCCCATCGGCCAAGACGAGTGATCAGACTCTGATATTGTGAAACAGGTTTCTTCATCTTGAACTGATGGAGCTACCCAAGACGAAAGACCGAAAACACATATGTCAAGGCTTACAATGACCCTCTTGGACCAGAAGCAGGCGACGTGATCGTAGGCATGATCTCTCCTGTGTGGTCAGGCTCAGAGCCGGAGGGGTCTCGAGACTTGAAGAGAGCCGCTCACCTGACATGCCAAGAAACTGCGCAGTGTAAGTACTAACTACATAACAGTTACGGGATATATCATCTGCCACAGTAACGGAGAGTTCGAAAGTGCGGACACGGTCGCTGACCGCACACGCCTCCCCTCCGAAATCAACTGAAACGCAGATGGGTATAGTCACGTCGAACCACAGCATGATTGACGCCGGTCTTGTTCCGAAGGAATGTGGTAAGTATTTTTGGTGTGATAGAGAACCCGCCCTGCATAAAGTTGGTCCTTCAGGTAGAAGTATGTAACCATCTTCCCGTCTAAGCTGACTCCGCCGATTCAGGGGCATGAACCTGGTTGATCAGGGGTGCATCTATGTTTTGCATACCAACACCCAAGTATTGACGAGTTCAACAGCCGTTCGTCTCATGCGTAGATCATGGGTGGTTCCTTTCTCGAGTTGTACCTACGCCATCAAGTTTGCATCTGGACAGAGAGGTATGCGGATTGAAGTTGCAGTCCATGCATGGTGTTTCATCAATGGATATGAGTGGAGAAGGAGAGAAAATACATTACCAACTTATGGGATGTTTACAGTGTTGGAAGACACTGCCGCTTTAGGCCCAGCTCAAGAAATGTCGGACGGCACTTATCCTCCATGCTCATGCATCATGGTGTCAAATTGATGTCTGTTGGTCCTCGATGCGTTCTGTCCATGGGGTTCCATGTGTCCCATCTGTGTTGCGCATGGCAACCCGCCGCTTGGACTGTGTCATCTTTCAACTGTTTCAAGGCCACTATTTGGGACATTCTAGCCGGCTGGTTCTTGCCGCAGCCGATGCTCGATTGTTATACTCAGAAAGTCCCAAACTCAGCTAGTGGGTTAAGGGGTAAGCCTCTGCTTAGACGAACAGGAAATCAGACGTGGCCGTACAGGGACGAGATGGCTTATTTCTCTTCTCTCTATTTGCGCAATGTGTTTTCCCTGAGATTGGTCAGGATGAGCATTGAGGGACACACATGTAGGTTAGTACTAGTAGTCCAAAGGGGAAGCTGGTCATCGAGAATGACATTCCAAACAGCTATCCTGGGTCGACTTGATGGAGCTTGGCAATACGGATCCGCATAAGCGCCAGGTAGTCTACATAGTGTAGTATGTACGAGTGGTACCTGGGAGCCTGGTTTAGCACGTCGCCATCTGACGAGGTCCTTGTCGGCGATCCTTGTCGGCGATCCTTCTCTTACTGGATTTCAAAGGTGAAATGAGGTAAACAGGACCTAGGACCCAACATTGGATATACACTGCAAGGAAAGGATAGTTTGAAAATATCGTCAGTCTCTATGAACTGCCGGGGCATACAGAAGTACGGCATAGGTTGTCTCATTGGCCTTCGTGAAAAGTCGTGATGATAGTCCCGGAAGCTTATCCCAACTCGACCGTCGGTTACGCTGCGAGAAATGAACTAGCCTAATCTAGCATGGCTCGAGGTTTTTCACGACGGGACTTGCGCACCTTCTTCGCCGACATTGACAGCGAGTTGCCACTAATGGAGTATGTGGGCTGTAGGCGCTCATTAGCAGCACGTCAACATGAAGCTTGAACCCTGCAGCGCAATTACAATAAAGCCCGTCTTGAAGTCCCTAACCTGTGGACAGGAATTGTGAAGTCTCAACTCAATGGCGATGAGTAGAGGAACTTGGTGGTGATAGAAGTTATTCAACAAAGCAGACACCATGGATAAGGAGTCTTTATCCAAGTTGAGGTTGACATTTTTTGTCTTTTTGTAGTGTATACTTTGATAGGTACGCTGTCTTTGGCGCCCTGCCGCCGCAGGTCCCGTCTCCCTGGGACACTAGTTTTAGGAGCTTGGACTCCCCTTTGTTGGCCCCGTCACTCTCATCCACATCTCCATTCCGTACGGGTAGAAGGGGGGTGCAGCTTCTGGTCAATCAACAGATCGACACACCCGGGCGTTCAAGGCAGCTCTTACGATATAAGTCCAGTCAAATAACTGTATAGCTATAGGAAACCTTACAAAATGTAACTGAAACGTCCGAAAGCGTTCTACTGTCAACTACGAGGTTCGGAAACGTCGAAAAGTTACAACGTTGGAAAGAATGACCATTTATTGATCATGAACAGTCTAAACTCCGTTCGTAAGATAATGGACGGGTCAATAGACCGGATGTTGCACCCCCCCTCCTTTCCGTACTGTCATTTTCCCTGTCGGCGTCGTGGCGTCCATACTATACCCTGTAAAAGCAAGCATTGAGGGTTGGCGACCATCCTGGAGCTTCCCACTTCCACGAGTTCTTTTGGCTTGGGTCTCTTTTAGCCGTCCGTACCTTGCAGACCGCGTCGAGCCAAAGAGGTCCCCGAGCTGAGCTTCCCTGCAGACTTGTTTCCCTACCGCCATTTGCTCCAGGTTGCCCTGTCTCGCCTGTCTGTAGCCCCGTCACGCCGTCACTCCGTCACTCCGTTGGACGTGGTACCTAACGTCAATCAATCAATCTGCGCAGACTTGCAGCCCGGAAGCCAACAGAGCCAAAGAAGTCCACTCAAAGCCGGCACCCGATCGGTCAGGCGTCCACCCACGGCCCTCAACCCTCGCTCGCCTCGGCAAGCATGTCATCTCCAACTGTCACGCCTCCGGCTCCCGATGGCAATTCTTTCCTGGTGCAGATAGTGTCTCTGCTGAGCAGCGCCGCAAGCCACTTGCGCCTGCCGGTGATAGCCTCTACTGTATGAGCCGGCATTCCTGTTTCTCCCGCCCTGTGCCTGAATGGCTGTTGAGCCGTCCGCGTCGACTGGCCAAGGGGGCAAGTCCAATGCTTTCTCCCTCCCCGTCTCTATCAAGTGACCTCTACCGGGGAGACGTCGTGCTAATCTTCATGTTCATGCGCTGACCTTGGCTTTTGCCTATCTAGGGAGTCGCCGCCATCCTCACTGGGCTGCTCTACTTCAAGCAAAAGTATGTGGTCCCCAATCTGACATCTCCCATCCCAATTGCGTCACCTGTATTAATGCGCTACCTTATTGCAGAGCTCTAATCTATCCCTCTCACATGCCCCCCGGCTCCCGAACGGACATACCTCGACCCAGCTTCTACCGCATCAAAGACTACGAAGAACTTATTATCCCGACCAAAGATGGCGAGAAGCTTTCTGCCTTTTACATTCGGGGCCCCAAGGGCGGGTCCAACTCTAAGGTGACCGTGATCATGTTCCACGGAAACGCTGGTAATATTGGCCACCGTCTACCCATCGCACGCATGTTGCTCCAAGCTGCGGGCTGCAACATCTTTATGCTCGAATACCGTGGCTACGGAATCTCCACCGGCCACCCTGACGAATCTGGGCTCAACATTGACGCCCAAACCGCCCTCGACTATCTCCGCGATCGTGCCGAAACGCGGGACCACAAGTATATCGTCTACGGCCAGAGTCTTGGTGGGGCCGTCAGTGTTAAGCTCGTGTCCAAGAACCAAGGCAGGGGCGACATTGTCGGCTTGATTCTAGAAAATACCTTTCTCAGCATGCGCAAGCTGATACCCAGCATCATCCCTCCTGCTCGGTACCTTGCATCCCTATGCCATCAGGTCTGGGCTACCGACACCTTGATCGGCAATGTCAAGGTACCTACTTTGTTTTTGAGTGGACTCCAGGACGAGATTGTGCCGTAAGTTTTTGCCCTGGCCTTTCTCATTGTGACCCCACAACATAGTACACTGAGCCACGGTCTGTGTTTGTGACCAGTTGGGTTGCATGAGAGCTGTCCGCTAATTCCATCACCCGCATCTTAGACCCACTCATATGAAGCAGCTTTATCATCTCTCCAACGCCCCGATAAAGATCTGGAAGCCTCTTCCCAACGGCGACCACAACTCGAGTGTCCTCGAAGAGGGCTACTTTGAGGCCATTGCAGAATTCATCCAAAGGGTTTCCTCAGAAGACCCCGAAAAGAAATAGCTCGATTCGACAACGAAATCCGCGCCGTCGCTCTCTCCTCATTCCATGCGGTAGTTGGGTCTTTCTGTTGAAGGGGAGGCATATGATGTGCCAACGATCTTGATAACGCGAAAGCGTCCATGATTACGAGCTGTTGGGGGGCAGCGAAGCACAAGTACGACAACCACGACCTTCGTGGCTTGATGTTTGAAGATGGGTCGGAACTTGAGGCTTCCATTGAGGTGTCATATTTTCTCTTTCGCACCTCATGTATGTATTTCATGACCCTTTGGACATATGTCGAGGTTGCTCAGGGCTTTGATTAAGACCCAACGGGACGAGGCTCGATAATTCAAACAAGGAAGTGAAGTTTTCGTAGAATAAATACCAAATATTAATATCGGACAAGGATTAATTCAATTTCATATTTGAACATATGGGCATTAGCTTGTCAAAAGTTCCTGACCTGTTGAGAATATGTCGGATCATTCAATCATTAGGCTATGTACTAAAACAGGCTCTCTCTCCTGGCAACATGCTTGCTGCATATACAATTATCTCTAAACCGCAGTTGTTGACTGTTCGCTCCTTGTCATGGGCAAACACTACCCAAAATCTGTTCTCGAGAGGACGTGGTAAGACTGCTGCTTTTTGTCATATCTCCCGTATATTAAGTATTTTGTCCCCCCGACCGCCATACAAGGACTGCTCTAAGCAACCCTCAATGGCAGAATATGCTGTACCATCGTCTCACGTCTGCACAACGGACACTCAGGCTTCTCGCGCACCCAGTCTCCAATACACGACCAGCAGAAGACATGTCCGCACTGAGTCGCCGCCGGGTCCTTTAGCTCTTCCAAGCAAAGCGTGCACATCCTCTGCTGTCTCCCCTTGATCCAGCCCATGACCTCCTCATTCGCCGCCAAGTCGTAGTTCGCCCTCCCGCCCTTGGGCACAGGGGTGTGCGTCGTCCGTCCAATATCCGCCAAACTACGCTGGTTGCCCGACTTGCCGCCAGACGTGCCCGTCTCCACCAGCAGCTCGTTATTGCTGCTATAGGCATTCTCATCTAACGACACATCCAGTGTGCCCGCAGCGCCCGGCCCAAAAGCGCGCTCCCGAATGCTTGCCTCGGTACTGGCCTCCTCGGCACTAAGCGGCGAAGTTGACGAGAGCTGCGCCGTCACATGCAGGTATCCCCGGACGAGCATCTGCACCACCAGCAGCACGCCGAGCACTTCATAGCCCGCGGGACCGCCTTGACCCTCCTCGATGCGCCGCGTGAACACATATCGCAGCCCGAAGAGGCGCTTGGAGAAAGAGTAGTAAGCACCCGAAAAGTAGAATACAGCCAGCGTCAAGGCGTGCAGGTGCGCGCCGCTGGTGATGGAAGTCAGGTGTGTGAGCAGGTAGCGCTTCACGCGGTACTCAAGCGTTGACACTGTGGAGAAACCACCGCCCTTGTTGATGGAGGTAGATGGGGTGGCGCCCTTGGTGTCACCGCGGCCCTGGCGGGCAAGCACGGTGAGACGGTCCTGGAGGCGCTTGCGCAGCGCGGCGCGGATGGAGGGCAGCAGGCGGCTGAAGAGGTAGGGGACAAGAACGCTGCTGACGATGTAGCCGGCTCGTCGCTGGAGCGAGGGTAGACGGGGGCCGCCGGCTTCGCTGCTGGGTTCGATGGGGCTTTGGGTGTCTGGTATCCTGCCGTTGCCGCCCGTACTCGGCTCTTCGACTTGGACTAGGTCGCAGTACTCCTCGCCTAGGGTGCGGTTGCCGAGGAGGGTGGTGAGGCATAGGTAGAGCAGGTCGGCAGCCGTGCGGGTTTCGGTGGCCCAGGAGTGGGCGGAGCGGGCACCGCGAACGCGCCGGTGAAGGTCGGTCAGCTGGTTAGTGAGGACGCCCTGGAAATAGGCATCTTTTTGATGCGCGCGGATAATGTCGGGGGCTGCAGCGAATGGATATGGCGAACTCGTGAGCGGCGGAGGTGGCTTCTTGGTGGCCGTCAATGACATGGTGATTGATGTCGTCGTTTTGATTCGGGTCGGGTGGGCTCGAAATCGGGGGTCAAAAGCAGTGTTTACACGGGCGACGTATTCAGGGGGAACTATCGAATCCTAGGAGAGCTCGTATGCCCACAGTCGAATCGTCGAAGCTGTGGCAGTAGATGGACCAAATCTTTTCGGTCTGAAATTATCTGAGTTGTTGTTTGATGTTTCGAGATCGACAGGCGGCAGTTGAAGCTGAGATGAAAGTGGTAGTCGGGAACGGATGGACCTCGGTCCTTGGGGTTAATGGGGGCAGCACGCCCGGCGCCGCCCCAGGCCGCCAGGCGTGGTTCCTCTCCAAGGAGCTGGTGAGGAATTGGCAGGGGGGCGCCCAGAACGTCGTAGCCCAGGCTTTAGCGGCAGGGATGATGCAGCGGGTTGTCACAGGACGGGGCCGCGACCAGGGGGTTGACGTCGGGTCTTCTCCCAAAGCCAAAAAGAGTGCACGCGACAGGGGCTTGGCAACTCCGGCCTATTTGCGACAGCTACCGCAATACAGATGAAATTAAAATTTCCATCTTGACACTTGACAAACTCCAAACGCGTTACTGCTAGGAATTTGATTCCAAGCTTATCAACTCTTCTTCGCGTCTATCTGTTACTTCTTCCTCTCCCCATTCCATGACGGACAGCAAATTGACCGCTGCCTGGCGCAATGGACGGTGATCCCGTGGTTGAGCCGGAGCTCGACTCCTTCAGCTTGACCTTTCCCCTTCCCTACCGGGTTGCCTTCATCGTGATCATAGGTATGTATTTACAAATTTCCTGCCGTATGTTTGCTTTTTGGATTCACAGTTGTAAACTGACAATCTCTGGTTGATTAGCTGTTTGGGGCTGGGGCCTCAACCTTCAGTTCCTCCATAATCGCAAGATTGACGTCCCCTCCTTAATCCGGTACCCAGGAAGATCGAGCCCAACCCAGCTCCCTCACCACCACTCGACATACCGTCTTGCGACTCTTCTTTCGCTTAGCTCCGCTGTTTCGATCTTTACATTTTGGTCGTTTACCAGGCGCGATCCAAAACGCGTCATCGACTATGACTGGATTCCCATGACCAACTTGGCAGTGACCGCAGCCCTCTTCGTGCTACCCCTGCGAAGACTGTCTGTCTCGCACTCCGGTCGACGTCGACTACTCGCAACTCTGCGCCGCGTCAGTGTGGGAGGTTTGGCTGAGGCCAAGGATGGAAAGTTTGGGGATATCTTGCTAGCTGATGTTCTCACCAGCTACGCCAAGGTCCTTGGGGACCTGTTCATATGTCTCTGCATGTTCTTCACGCGGAATGGGTCTGCTACTGACCGACCGGATCGCAGCTGCGGCGGCACCTATCTCGTACCACTTCTCCTGACGATACCAAGCGCTATTCGGCTGCGCCAGTGTCTTATTGAATATCTGCGGGTGCGAAATTCTCCTTTCAAGGAGTCCACGGGCTGGGGTGGACAACATCTCGCCAACGCGGCCAAGTACTCGACCGCGTTTCCTGTTATCATTTTGAACGCCATGTTGCGTAACGCAAACACCAACGGCACCCCAACTACGAGCCTGTACCGTGCATGGATTGTTGCGTGTCTGCTCAACTCACTCTACAGCTTTTACTGGGACGTTGCCAAGGATTGGGATCTCACCCTCTTTGCTGGGGTACAGGAACGCAATTCTCCCGATCATCCGTTTGGCCTGCGGCGCCGCTTGCTGATCCATAAGCCCGTGGTGTACTACTTTGTCATCGCACTGGATCTGGCACTACGGTGCACATGGATGATCAAGCTGCACCCCCATCTCAATACCATCAGCGACTTCGAGAGTTCGATCTTTTTGATCGAGTTTTGCGAAGTGTTCCGGCGGTGGGTGTGGATCTTCTTCCGAGTTGAGACCGAATGGATCAGGAACACTTCAACCGGGCTCGGCGTTGACGACATTTTGATGAGCAACTTCAATACTAGGAACGAGGACGAGGAGTACGTGGACTAAGTCCCACTTGCCATACCTCTGCGGCACTAACCATCAGAACATGGATATCCGCGTGTTGCCGCTACGGACGTTTGCTTTGTTTTGAATGGAGAACGGAATGCTGGAAAATCCGAGTATTACACGCCGTCACACGGTTGGTTTACAACATCGGCGTTCGGGTCGTTTTTTGGTTCACCCACCCCAGTGATATAGATGTACTCGCCAAAGGAAGCTCACATAAATCTACGACTAATAGTGATTCGGATCCTCGAACACGTTGCTTTTTTCTTCGGTGTTCCAATCCTACCCTTGTCCCCATCGGGGTTGCTTCCGAGGCTACACAACTCTTCATACACCCGTTGGTACCGGACCTATCACGGCAATCCCGCCCTTCAAGAGGCTGCCCGAAATGCTTACTTAGTGTGTCTGTATGACAGCCCAGCATCTGGAAGAGACGTTTCCCAATAGGATGGACGGCGCGTAATTCCAGCGTATCACTTGTAATCCATTCCAATTGTCACAAGACACAGGATAACGAATACCGCAAAAAGTCCTCGTGTGGTCGTTACACCAGTATGATTCAGTCCTCCTTCTATCCGACATCTAGAAACCTTGAAGTGGTATTGCGGAGCAAAGGCCCCGTTGTCCTCTAGACAAAAGCTGCCGTCTTCCTCAAGCCATTAGATTTTGTTGAGGAGTGGCTTTTGATTCATTTCTGACGTTTCCCTTTAAATCCCTAACATGTGCTCTCTCGCCTTTGTCCCTGTCCGTTATACTATTTCAACAAAGGAAAAGCCAACCTCATGATGGTGACACGGTAAGTATAAAGTTGAAAGAAAGCTCGCTTACTTCCCATGAAAATCTTCACTCAAAAGGGACGAAATCCTTTGTCTGCTGGGACCTAACCTTCTTATCCCGGAAGAACGCGGGAGTGATATCAAAGTCGTGGAGTTGTGGAAATGCTTATAATTCAACACTCGAGGTCTCGAACATCGATTTGCTCGTGCATGATAACCACAGGCTGGGAAGGCCCTACTTTTGAGGAAAAGGTTGCTGTTTCAGGTTGGCGGAGTCGTATGTATTCCAGAAGAAAAGAAGCGGTCAGTAGATAACAAAAAGATGGACGAGACGACGACAACCCCCCAACGACCCTCCTGTCGGGCCGATACTCCACGTCCATCTTCTGCTGATGAGGCCAACATCACGTCGTCATCACCCCCAGGGTCTCGTTTCAGACCCCCAAAGCCGAAAGATGTAGCAGTCTACGAGAAGAAACCCCTGCCGCCCATTCCGCCAAAGCGGAGGCCAGCAGCCTCTACATTAAGCCAGAAGGACCCGAACAGCATAAAGAGCGTTTACACGTTGGCGAATATCACAGGAGCCGGTCCTCCTGAGAAGATCAACAATCGTCAAAACTTGGGGGACATCGACTGGGAAAAGGAGGAGGCCGAGATAAACTCCATCATCGCGAAGCAGTTGACCCCCAGGGGCGGAACACCAATATCAACGTCAGCGTTTCCGGCACCGCGAACACCCAAGCCTTTACATATCTCTCCAGCAGACTCAGAACGCACTCTGAAGTCGAATTTGTCACAAGAAATCATTTCACCGCAACCGCGATCACCAGTATCGAATATCCTCCAGCTCGGCAGTTTCGGATCCAACAAGTCGCATCCAGACTCTCCACCGCTATCACCTACCGGGCAGATTCATAATCTAAAGGTTAAACAGCTCTCGGGGCCGGTTTCTCTTCCCGAACGAGAAGATCGTTTCAGCAACAGCGAGAACAACGCCACGGAAAAACATACGACAGGTTACATATCTCCCGTCAGTAGCCGCAGTAGTTTCTACAGCCAATATCGAGACAGCACTGTATCCGAGGCGGGTTCAGCAAGCCTAGCCGGAAGCAGCCCACCTCGCAGGTACGACAGCCCCGTATTGAAAGAATACTTCCCCAGGGGAAAACCACATCCAACTATCAAGAATCGACTGATGGTAAGAAAAGCACCATCGCCTATCCCACGACCTTTACAGCCACGTAAGATCAGAGGCAGTCTCAAAGGAAGAAGCAACAAGACAGCAAGAACCATGTCGCCAGATCCCCCAACAGACAGTGATCACAGCGGCGTCAGCAATACTGAAGCCCGTGAGCTCTACCACGAGACAACCGCACAAATTGCTCGTTACACAGCAGCTAGAGGAGGAGGATCTTGGGCATATCCGAATGCCTTGAGTCATCCCCCCCACCCAGGAAGCAGTGTTGGGATCCCATCATCTCAGACTGCCGGAGGCCCGGGTCATGCCCGCTTTCTCGGCGAGGACGGCACGCCACAGACAACTGGTGATAGTAAAAGGGAAAGTCGGCAGCCACCACCCGTGCGACCGCCGAGGGAGGACGAGCTCCCACTGGCCCTGCCTCGTTGGGACTCGGCGGCTGATACATTGGTGACTCCAGATCTAGATCGTACGGAGGAAGGGGAACCAAAAGCCCGATCCAGTTCGCAACTCTCGCAGGTATCCCATCAATCTCACGCAGGCTCTTCTTCACCATCACCCTTCTTGGCAACATCTCAAAACGCCGCCCTCAAGACGCGGCCCCGAAACAGGGCGCAAACCATCAGCGTGAGCACCTTTGGCCACCACAACGAACTGCGCAGGCAATGGGACTCGGGCTCGCCGCAGCTGGAGATAGGCGCTCCGCTTCCGCTTGCACTGGAAGATAACTTGGCTTCGATTACCAAATTCGCGAAGCACGGCAGTCATCACATCCGTAACCACAGCGACGGCAATTACAGCCCCGGTGGCGGCGATGGTGAGAATCACACATCTCTATTTCGACGCTCTTTGGTTTCCAAGGTGTTTAGACGCGTCTCGGGATCAACACCAGGAGGAGGAGGAGGAGCATCACCCTCAGTTCCGACACCTACGTCCACACCCGCCACCATATCGACGGCCACGGCCACCGAACGGGGCCCCATACGATATCAAACAGCTGCAGAGAGATACCACGATCAGAGTTGCAAGACTATTGCCGCCGTCGGCACAACATCATCAGTCCATCGGCCACGCACAGCCGATGGCCGCGGCGCTGCGGGGCCATCGTCCTTCTCTTTTTCGACCGCCCCCTCCACCTCATCTGCCATCGGGTTTCTGCTCCCTCAGACTCTGAAGAAGAGCGCGTTGGCGCAGAAGACGAATGAGCTGTTTGTCGGCGGGCGGTTGGCGCGGAAAACCAAGCCGGGGAGAAAGAGGGAGGATTTGAAGAATAGCATTAGGGTGCTGGGTGATGGGGCCAGGGTGGAAGCGCCGGTTGAGTTCGTTACGGGGATGGATTTGTTGTCGCTGTCGGAGAAGCCGGCGCGGCAAGAGGGACACGATTGGTTATGAAGTGATCTTGTGTGAAGGGTGCAGTAAGGCTGACTTAAGAATATGCGAAAGTCAAAGGGTGGCTGGATCCCAAGTGATGACGCATGGAAATCGAACAATTAGGGGCCTTCTCCTGTAGAATAAATGGCGTTATTTTGCACAAATGAGCTAACTTGAGCGTCGCGGAATCTGTGATGATGCTCAACGCTAAAATAACAGAATCCCTCTGTTTGGTGGTGCAATGCAATCGGTCTCTCGTGTTCCTGTCCACAGGGTGTTTGCATCGTGATTTTGTTGTCAAGGAAGTTCGGCTGCGAGTTTGGTATAGTAGGGCACCGGGAAGCCCTGGCATAGGTAGGTAGGTTGGCGCTTCAAGCATGACACAGGGCGAGGCCGTCGGGACAAGGAAGGATGAACCGCTGTTGCAATGTGAAACTGTCATTTCAGCACACTGGAGTATGTAGTGGAACTGACTGACGCGCGTATTGGGAGCTATTATCTACACATGAAAGTGAAGAATACACCCAGTTCACATTAATTAGGTAGAGAATAGCCCGAGTATTGGAGATGGAGAGACAGAATTGCAAGTGCCCCTGCACTCGAGGAAATAGGTAACCTCAACCTCATTGACGTCAGTAGATCTCCCCAAAAAGACCCCCACTGAATTACTCCGGCTTCCATCGGTACCGCTCCTCCTTCCCCGCTATTTCCCCGCACAACATCCCCAAAGGAAGGTACCTCTAGTGTGCTTATACGTAGACTGTGTCATAGAGGTACCGTACAGTAACTTGAGGTTGTTCTGCTAGTTCCAGTCACAGTTCTGCCTACCCTCTTCTTTTGCGTCCAACCTCCGTCCAAACAGCCGCGGTTCTCGAGTCCCGTCCTATCTCTCGTATCTACCTATTTCTTTACGGCACATCCTGGTTGATATCATGAGCGCTTCGAATGAAGTGGGCGCGCACACCACCGGCGACTTCCCTCAAGACCACGAAGAGTTCCAGACCATTGCTCAGAGTATTCAGGGTGTACAGGATCCTGAGATCTTATTTCCGACGTCAACAAGAACGGGTGAATTGCCAACGGAGGGACAGGAGGAGAATAGTAAAGAAGACGGGGAAACCGCAAAGGATCAGGAGGAAGAGAAGGCTATCGACAGCGAGGCTTCCCATTATTGGGATGCTTCGACCATGAAACCGCTTAGTCCAGCCTCGGCGGTTAGTACTTATACCTCATTTTTTGACTCCGTGTCGGTTGTTTGCTCCCGTGGAAGACCGCTTGGCTCCGGCGCCGTGTGTCCGGTTTCGCACTCCGACTCCGGCCCGGGCTTGCGTGGTGCCCTGAGGTAGAAATCGGGTCAGCCCCTTGCATGACTTCCGAGTTCACATGAATCATTATTCTATCATGAAAACGTTCATGTCACTTAACATAATTCTACCTTGCAGGCTGCCATTGCCCGGTTAAGAGCCTTTAAGCCCCCTCCCTTTCCGCTATGGGACCGCCTACCAATCAGTCGCCGCGCCGCGGTGCTGTTGCTCCTTTTCGCAGATAAGCGCGGTGATCTCCGTGTCGTCATCACCATGCGCGCCGCGAGCATGCGCAGCTTCTCTGGGCATGCCGCGCTACCCGGCGGGAAGGCAGATAGTGTAGAGGAAACACCATGTATGAAGTCTCGCTATCACGTTCACATAAACTACCAGTAACGAGAGACCAAAGACCACTAACTTTGGACTGTTTCACACAGATCAAATCGCCCGCCGCGAAGCCTGGGAAGAAATCGGTCTTCCCATGGACGACAACAAGCTCCCCTCGCCCTTCCGCATCGAACACCTCTGCTATCTGCCCATGAACCTCGCGCGCACCGAGCTAGTCGTCCGTCCCTGTGTTGCCTTTTTGCACGCCGATAACAAGGTCGCGCCAGCGGCAGACGAATCCCTGATTCCGCGCCTCAATGCCAAGGAAGTCGCCGCCGTCTTCTCCGCGCCCTTCCACAACTTTTTGCGAGCCAATGATGATCTTCCGAAAAGCGACGATGACGGCTCGCAAGAAAAGCCGCCGCCAGGCAAGTGGTACGAGGGCAGCTGGACGAACTGGCACGAGGAGCGGTGGCGGTTGCACTTCTTTTACGTGCCCGTCAACAACCAGCAGGTAGCCAAGCCGGGGTCACGGAAGCAGCTAAAGGCCGCCGAAGAAAAGTCGTCCAACAAAAGCGCAATCATCAACCCGGAAGACGACGAGGACTTGCCGCCACCGACAGCAGCGCTCGCCCGTGGGGACGAGGAGGAAAGCGAACGATACAAGGTCTGGGGAATGACGGCAAGGATACTGGTGGACGCGGCGACGGTGGCATATGGGGAGGAGCCCGAGTTCGAGCATAACAGCCATTTTGGAGACGAGAGGATGATCATGGGGTTGGATAAGTTGGGCATGCTGGGGGAGAAGACGAAGAAGGAGAGTGTGTTCACGCAGGAGGATCTAAAGAAGGCGAGTGAGGCGGCGAAGAAGGCTAGCGAGGCGTCAAAGATGTAGATAGAGGAGGACCTGGAGGTAATGTGGTTCAATGTGGGTGAACAAGGTGTTGGAATAGACGTCTTGTTGTCGATTCATAGGCACTTGTCATGCAATAATTGAAATATCAACGCCACAAAGCGCCAGTGGTTTAGTGGTAAAATCCATCGTTGCCATCGATGGGCCCCGCGTTCGATTCGCGGCTGGCGCAACTGATTTTTTTTTCCCCTTCATCGTTTCAAAGCCATGCACATCCATTCGTCAGTTATTATATATAATACGGTAAAAAACTGTCAACTAGATCCTATCTCATGGGGATATACATACATACCCCATACGTCCCATCGTATTAACCGCCGATTACATCTAGGAACACTCTGATGGCACTTTTCGGACCCTTCTAGCCGCTCTTCTCACCAGCCGCTATGCAAAGTGGCCATAACACCTCGCCGCTCAAGCCATATGATTTTCTCCTCACGTTTGAGAATTGTGCACTCATGAGCACGTCAATGACACCTCCTAATGGCAAGCAGTTTCCTTGGTAGCAGTAGTACGGGACCCAAAAACGAAGTATCCCAACGCAGCTCCCAAAGAGCAAGCCAGCATGACCCAGCCGTTGTACGTCATGAAGATGAGCCTTTTGTGTGTGTGTGTGTGTGGTCAGAAATAGAAAACATTCAAGCTTTGGAAACAAAATTGGAAAGCAAAAGGTGGAAGGGGAGAAGGAAATCTCTTACATGATCATGAACGCATAAAAGTTCTGGATCCCATACAAGACCGACTTGATGGCGTGGGCCCGCTTGGTGACTGCAGCCACATTTTGCCCTAGTAACCACGGCATGGTAGTCTCAGCAAGACGTTCTTCATCTTCAAGTTGTGGTTCAACGTCATCATCATCGCGATACTGTTCTCGAGGGTCTCCAAGACAGATAGATGGTCATCTTAGCAATACGATACGACACCAAACGCATGGTAGATGTAGTAGGCATTCGGTGTGTGTGTGTGTTTAATGCCATGTAACCTTGTGACATATTGATATGAGATGCTATGGCAAAGCCAAGGCAAAGATAGCAATATGTATCGGATTAAAGAGAAGCAAAGTGGTTTCAGAGGGCCCGAGACACAAAAAGGGGAAGTGAGGATGAACAACTTACGAGGCGTAGTCTCCACCCTCTTATTAGTCCATGCCTCATACTGTCTAATGCCCTCGCGAAGTGCCTCGTATCCGGCCGCCAACGCGACAATGGCGAGAAGGGAGACTACAAGACTGAAGGTCGACTGGATGTGCCATTGGCGGAAGACGATGCAGAGGTTCTCCGTATTCCAGGTGAAGAGCATGTTCATGCTACACCTCGGCGCTCCTTCGCCCATCCCAGGATGACCCGAGTGCATGTCGCCGTGGCCGGAGTGGTCCATGTGGGTGCTGTGGTCGTGGCCGGAGTGATCCATGGTTCGTTTTGCTGCTCCTTGAGATGTTTGTTGCTTCGGTTATAGGAGAGATAAAAAAAAGGAGGGAGTTGAAGTGAGAGTGGCAGAGTCGTTGATTGGGGATCTCGACTTATAAGGTAGAGGTGGCTGTGAGTGAGCGCCTCGTGTCCCATCAGTTGAAAGAGGAACTGAAGTGTTCCGTTGGTGGAACCTCGAGGTCGGAGCTGGAGTTTCGCACGTTGTGTTCAATTCACGGCCAGAGGAGACATGAAGCACCTGAGAATACGCCTACAACGCCCTGCAGCTGAATGGTACGAATCTCGCGAGCTCGCTATCAAGCTAGTTTGAGCAAGATAAACAGGGGTCTGGCATCCGAACAACAACACTCCCTGAGGGGGAAACAGACTTGTCTAGAGTTCGTTTGGCAGGCCCTGGTATCCCCTCCGTCTGACAGCAGGCATCATCTGGCGGGGCATCAAACGGACAAGTGGGGTACTACTACTGTTGGGATACTGTACCTGCCGGAATTTAGTTCATGGTTTCCAGCGCTCCATGTTGTTCGAAACTTCCATTACCTGCGTAGTAGACATTTCTGGATTTGTACTTCTATGTATGGTCTTGTACAAGCCCATTTTACAGTCAACACTGAAAGTTCGAGTACAGTTAACTGGGTATGCGTTTTTCCCGGCCCCTGCCTATATCGTTAAAAGTGCCGGGAAAAGCTGACAAAGCAGTCAGCTGTTCGCAGTTTGAATCATCCCATCGTCAGCGTCATAACTTGAGGATCTTGGAGGTTGATTCTGGGAGAAAAGAACGGTAAAAGAAAGAAGAAGACCGAGTCATAGTGATCACAAACACAAATTCGGTCTTAAAAAATGCTTTCCTCACCAGTAAACCTGCCGAAATGGTATGCATCACCATCAGCCACATGTAACCCCTCAGCGTATCAGCTTGCGCTCACAGCTTCACAGGCTCGAAGAAAACTCTCACCTTCTGAAGCCGCCCATCAACAACTACTGCGTTTACAATGATGACTTTACCGTCATGGTAAGTAGCAACTCGACTACAGGTACTTCTGATTCCATTCGTGACTAAAAACCCGCCCACAGATCGTTGGTGGCCCCAACGCCCGCACGGATTACCACATCAACCAAACCCCCGAGTGGTTCTACCAGTACAAGGGCGCCATGATGCTCAAGGTGGTCGACGACGGAAACTTCAGAGATATCATCATCCGCGAGGGCGAGATGTTCCTCCTGCCAGGCAACACCCCGCACAACCCGGTGCGGTTCGCCGACACGGTCGGTATCGTGCTGGAACAGAAGCGTCCCGCCGACACCATCGACCGCATGAGGTGGTACTGCCAGAACTGCAAGGAGATTGTCCACGAGGCGAGCTTCCACTGCACCGATTTGGGAACGCAGATCAAGGCGGCCGTGGAAGCCTTTAAGGAGAATGAGCAGCTGAGGACTTGTAAGAAGTGTGATGAGCTGGCCGATTGGTGCCCCAAGCCTGGATCGATCCAGGATCCGAATGTGCAGTGAATGGAAGGGTCTGCATCATGGCTTGGGGGTTCTGCGCGGTGGAAATGATGGCCTTGTCAGATGTCCGCCCTGCGAGCGTATGTGAAATAGAATCTATGTACATCGAACTACACTAGGTTGTATGAGGGTGGGCTATCATCTATGTTCGTTCGGTGTTTACGTCTCAGCATACTCGTACGAGCGAGTAGACTCCTCGACCGCGATCTCGATCTTGGCCTCCTCAATCTCCTTGCCATCCACACGGATACCGGCGCGCATCACATCACCGGGGACAACTGGGCCAACGCCCTTGGGAGTGCCAGTCAGGACGATGTCACCGGCCTCGAGCGTCATAACCTTGGAGATATCGCTAAGGATGCGGGGAATCTGGAAGAGCATCAAGTTGGTGGAGTCGTTCTGACGAACCTCGTCGTTGACCTTGAGATAGAGCTCGATGTTGTGAGGGTCCTGAATACGGGACTTCTCAATGAGCTTGCTCATGGGCAGGAACGTGTCGAATCCCTTGGCAATGTCCCAGGGGAGGCCCTTCTTCTTGGCCTCATTCTGGACATTGCGTGCCGTCATGTCGATGCTGAGAGCATAGCCTGAAAAAGAAAGATCAGTATTTTGACTATGATATTGGAATATGGAAAACTCACTATTAATGGCGTCCAGAGCTCCCTGCAAGTCCGAAGCGTCATGGTCTCTGACACGCTTGCCGAGGATAAGAGCAAGCTCAACCTCGTAGTGCATATCAACACCACGGGGCCGGATGACGGGTCCTTCTCCGGGAAGGATAATGGACGAAGGAGGCTTGAGGAAGAAGAAAGGCTGCTTGGGCTTTGCGCTGTTCAGCTCCGTGATGTGGTCCCTATTGAAAATGAGTCAACTATGTTCAGATGCGTTTATGGCGTACTTATGCACACATACGCATAGTTGCGGCCAATGCAGACAACCTTGGAGGCCTTCTTGAGCGAGGCCATGGTGGTCAATCCTCTCCTGAATGTGAGACTCATGTTGCGACCAGTTTTTGGCTGGTTAGAGGTGTATAGAGCTTATGAGACTTTCTAGACTTTGCTTATCAGTATCAGGCTTTGGGGGGGTTCCATTGCGTGCTGAACTCCACGCAGGCAGTTTGCGGCCATCTTGACTGTGACGCTGGAAAAGATGTCCCGTACAAAACCGATCAACCTCCTTCTTGCCCTGCTATTGGCTGGGACTCACCTCCTTGCTCTAAATGCTGACAGCCAAGGGCCTCTCTAGATTAAAGCTCTGCGTAACGCCGAGAGGGTTTAGGACACGTACGACGGGTTTATCGAGACAAGCACAACGACCGCTGAGACGAAAGCTTAGTGCGCTGAATACTAACTCTTGCTACTTACAGTACCAGCCAAGGAATCGTCTTGGCAGCAATAGCCTGAGGATACCTAGTGGAGGCCGGGGATCGGCCGGCTCACACAAGGGTCTCGGCCCCGAGCACGGAGGACATGCATCGTTCAAATGTACCTCTCTAGTTGTTTATCATACGCTTTCCTAACCCATTATCCTTAGTGAAACTGTAAGGGCGGGAAGTGGGGAGCGCTACTGAAAGTGTGGGGAAGCCCGCTCGAATCGGTGGTTTACCGGCAATGCCAGGGATGTCTAGAACGCCCACGCGACTACCCCAAGCCGCATCCTGCCTCTACCTGGCTAGCACCGCGTTGGGATGTCTCCAGCAAAGGAAGAGACGTCCCTCCCCGTCGGGCATCCCTTTATGAAAAGACCTCCCAGTTGCAAACCGACAGTCCGTTCCTCCGCTACTTCCTTCTCCCCACCGGACACTCATTTCAAGGTCGTACCTTATATCATCCGCGCGCTCGCACCCCGCCACCACACACCATCTGCGCTCGCTGGATCCTTTCCATCCATTCGGTCAGACGGTCTGCAACCAGGCTGGTGACAAAGCGGAATCGAACAATCTGGGCGTGGGTTACCAGTATGACGTGAACTTGAAAGCGGCTTTCATATTGCAACACTCCCGCTCATCTGCGACCACTTTAGGTCACCCGGCCGCTTCCTCTTCGTCTCTTTCCTGGATCTCCCGATTTCTGCCGCCTTTACCTGCAACAAAAGAAAAGACACCTCCTGCACACCGTCCACTTGTTCCAGATTCATACATACATTCTCGACCCTGATCCATTCGTCTTGAGGGCGACTAAAACTCCCAGGTGTCCTTATTTCGGAGTCACATCCCATTCTACAACTTTAGACACGTATTCATTGGATGGTCGCAAATCGACCCGCATTCGTTAATTGAGTTCAAGGAGTGCATACGAGACAATGGAGAGCATCCAACTTGCCCAGATGTTGGCCGATCTTAGCGATCTAAATGCGGCTGTATGTCTCCTTTCCCGTCCCCACAGAACTTGACGAACAAGTCCCCCCCTATCGGCGTCGCGCGCATGGCACTGCTGTTGGGATCCGCTCATGTTGGATCATTACTCTCTGACACTCTCGCCACAGCAAGAATCACAGGCCGCACTTGCGGTCGTCAACGCAAACAAGAGCGCCAGCCAGCCCGCTCCGGAACTGTCCCATCATCTGAAACCATCAACCGAGCAGCCTCCCATCCACCCTAATCAACATCAACTCCATCACCAACGTGTCGCTTCCGCAACCTCCCTACTCTCTAGGACGGCCTCGCCCGCCAGGTATGACAAATACGGCCGTCCCCTTACGACTCCCCCCATGACCCGTACGCACTCGAACCATGGGTCCATTCCCGGCACTCCACGAAGAGAATCTGAGGTCAGGTTTCATGTCCGATGTGTGGTTCCATCGGAGGACTGGGTTACTAACAGCTTCACAGCCCGAAGATGACGTTGACCGAGCGCATTCCCTGATGGCATTATACGAGATTCGTACAAAGTTGAAGCAGCAAGACACCACAAGCATCGATAAACTCAGAGACAAGATAACCGCATTGCAATCCCGCTACCAAACGGAGAAGAAAGATGGCGCAGATGCCAAAATAAGTCGTTTCATCTATCCCAAGGCCCAATCGCCGCCACCCTCGTGAACACACCATGTAGCAAGGTTCCCTTCCGCAAACTCATCTTTCTTCTTCTTCTTCTTCTTTTTTCTTTTTTTTCTCTTTTTTTTCTTTTTTTTTTTTTTTTTCCTGTCCTAAAAGTTCAAGATCGTTGCATTTCTCATGACCCATATACAGTCACGATGGCAATCCAGGAGAACAAGCTCAGATGGTTTTGCTTGGGTATGGCTTTGGTTTTTCTCGTCTTCTCAGCCTGCTGATAGATTCACTCATTGTGGTATGTGAACGTGCCTCTCCCCATGAATCCGTCTTTGGCGTTTGGGCAGGATGAATTATTACGACGGCTCGGATGGCAAACGGCAATGTCTATTCCGCAAAATCTATTCGGCGTTCTGAAAAGCACAGGGGAATGTCGGTCCTTTGTGGAGGGTATATGAACATACACTGAGCATTGAATTATGATTTGCTTACGCCTTGACATCCACTCATTCTGGCAAAAACCTGCCACACCCTGCCGTCACTACTGCAATGTCTCCGTGAGTATCTCATATATTATGCAGGGAAAGCTTAACATCGGCTGGACGAATTGCTTAAATTCCACCAAAAAAAAATATGTGATCTCGTTGTCCCTCCGGTCTTGTGCCATCGATATCCAACAGCTGTTGATATCATAGTGAAATGTGAACATGGACAGTCTCTTTGGAACGAATGCTTGCCCACGGTTACCGAGTGTAATATCGCCCTTCTTGACTACCAATTTCCAGGACAATTCCAGTCATATGATATTATACTAGTCACAATTAGTTTCCATCCAGATCGTATAATTTAGTTGCCAGAAGGACGATATGCGTGATTGGCTTGCGGTTTCTAGAATGTGTTATGCAGCCCCAACCGTCCGTCCATCCACTTCAACCCCGACCCCCGGCCCTGGAGCGGGCCCTTGCAAGTGGACTTCCGACAGCGCGCGTGTATTTGGCTCCACAGTAAGTTAGTGGGGGATCCACCACAAAACGTCGCGCCCGACGATATCATCTTCTGTTAACTTGTTGCTCGCAGTCTGGTGCAACCAATTCAACATCCACATCCTTTCTCTCCTCCGCCGTTTCGACGTTGATCGACTCCCCATCTCACCCACGTATTGCAGCAGTATTCTCGAAACATACTGCCCACAATGGCGACCGGAGTGGACGCCAAGCTCTTGAAGAGCACCAAATTTCCTCCCGAATTCAATCAGAAGGTGGACATGCAAAAGGTCAACATTCAGGTCATGAAGAAGTAAGTGCACCCAGTCACTGTTAAGTTAACAAGCTCGCATCGCTGTGATACACTGGGGACTTGATTGCCAGGGGAGGATGACTACAAGGCAATTGCTAACACGTCGCGTCTTTGATCAGATGGATTGCCAGCAAGGTCACCGAGATCCTAGCCAACGAGGATGATGTCGTTATCGAGCTGGTTTTCAACCTACTTGAGAGTGGCCGCTATGTAAGTCGCCGACCGTCTTTAAAACTACCCCGTTCCTTGCCGCAACATGATACTGACAACACGGTGATGGCAGCCCGACATCAAGTCCATGCAGATCCAACTCACAGGCTTTCTCGACAAAGATACCCCGACATTCTGCAGGGACCTGTGGAAGCTTCTACTTAGTGCGCAGACTAGTCCTCAAGGTGTGCCAAAGGAGCTTCTGGAGGCCAAGAAGATGGAATTGATTCAGGAGAAGGTACGCACCTCCATTCCCTTTTCGACCTGGCGACCTTTGGTGAGCGTTGGTTGACAGTGCTTCCGACAGCTGGAAGCGGACAAAGCCGCAGAAGAGGCACGACAGAAACGTCGAGAATTCGAAGGTCGGCCTGAAAGGGGCCGCGGCGGCCGAGGAGGCGGTATGGGTGGTGGCCGTGGCGACTCCTGGCGTGGAGGACGCCGTGACGACCGCGACCCCCGAGGGAACATAGGCCGAGGTGGCGGTGGTCGATCTCGCTCACCACCGCGTTTCCGTGATCAAAAGGACCGTGGCCCACCAAGAGGAGGACTCAGAGATTCATATGTTCCCCGAGGAAGTCCGACATTCAGACGTGGCGGAGGACGACGGGACGACAGGAGACGGCGATCTCGAACTAGGTCGCCGTCTGTGCGGTCGAGGTCCCGCTCTCGTTCGCGGACACCCAGCGTTGACGGAAGCCGGCGATCTGTTACTCGATCCCCTAGCCCTCCTCCAAGACGGGGACGGGTAAGATCACGTACTCGTTCTCGCTCTCCGATCCCCCACAGGGGACCGCATAAGCGCGTCAGGTCACCATCACCACGGCGCGGACCCAGATACCGGGGGCGCTCCCGATCTCGGACTGGCTCGGTTTCATCCGATCGTGGCTCTCGCTCCCCCAAGCGCCGCCGTTACTCCACTTCCCCTAGTCGGAGCCGTAGCCGCACCCGGAGCCGCAGCCCAAGTCGGAGCCGGAGCATCACCCGAAGCCTCAGTAGAAGCCTGACTCGGAGTCTTAGTCGCAGTCGAACCCAGAGCCGGAGTCGGAGCCGGAGCCTGTCGAGGGCTCGAAGCAAGCGCTACAGTCGGTCCGTATCGTCTACTGGATCTTCTCGCCTTTCCCGATCGCGAAGCCGCACCCCGGTTAGGCGAACGCGTCGTAGTAGCCGCAGCATTTATCCCGATCACCGTTCTTCTAGACGTCGATCACGCAGCAGAAGCGGAAGCCGCAGTATTAGCCCTCGCCGCTCACGGAGCCCTCACAGACGCTCTCGTAGAAGGGATGAACGAGACAGCAGCGTAGATGCTACGCCCAGGCCCGGCAGTAGAAGCCGCAGGGCCTCTTCTGTGGCTGCAAAATCTTCTGCGCATGACAGATTGGCTGATGATTCAGGCGCTCAAGACAGAATCCGCTCTCCCCGAGACACTAGAGCAGCTGCCGAAGCTACCTAACGAGGTACGTCAGACCACCTAAATGAGGCTCTAAGCTTGGGGTGGCTGGCACTGACCGGCGCTCCAGAATCTCAAAGCCTCTTGCGAACAGCGCCAGAAAGAGCCAAAAGGGAAAAAAAAAAAAAAAAAATCAAGCAGATGAGGTCCTCTAGAAGCGCAGAAGGGAATCATGAAGGCTAACCAGTCGTTTTGAAGATATGAACACAGCTGCTGAGCATCGCTGTTTTGTCGGCGCAAGCACAAGCGCACTATCATTAGAGCCTTCCGCGTCCTTTTAACCTTGGTGGATTGGTCAGCCGAGGTGTTGTGAGGTCCTTCCCTTAAAATCCCCTCGTTGATGGCTCCAAGTGTCTGAAATCATATCCTCTAGTCTTCAGGTCCGCATGTAGATTAAATACCTTGTATGGCATGAGCACTGATACAACACACACATACAGATGCATAGTATTTTCATGATGTTCATCAGCAGTGAGTTTGGTCTGGTCAAATCGTTTTGGTGTTTGAGGCCATCCGAGTGAATGCTACGAAGCATCCCTACAATACTCAGATCCTACAGGCGAACTGCGTCAACTCCAGAGTTTCTGCCCTCATCGCGCTGACGATATTTTGAGAGCGATTGCCCACCTAAGTTAGGCCCTACATACACAATATAGTTTCAAGCGAACTTGTTATAACTAGAAGGTAGGCCTAGTACCACAAATGAGCCTTCACTTCAAGGCAATTCCACAGGATCTGGAGCAAACGCCACACCTGACAGTTCCTGCGGTTCCCCCTCATTGATTGCCATCTGGTTATGGTTATGGCGATGATGATAGCACTGGTAATTATGGTGGTGTGTATGTTGATTATAGATAAGCGTGTTGCTAGTGGCAGCAGCCAAAGGCCCAGGTAGCTCCGACCGTGGTGTTGACGTTGATGTCAGGGACGACGATTTTGTGTGACCATGGCCATCGCCGTAGAGCAATCCCACTCCGACTGTGTCAAATACCATTGTTGATGACAACGACTTGTGTAGGGCATTTGGCTTTGGCCTGGTGTGTGCATTGGCAGAGACAGTTTGACTTGTCGGGGCTGGAAGCTCTTGGAACCCCGCTCCCATATCCCATAGAGTCGTGCTCGAGGCATTAGTTGCTTTGAATCCTGGCGTGCCCGAATATGGCGGTGGTAGTACTAAGTAGCTCCCGCCGGATCCGGACCTGGGGTTGTTAGGATATGTTTGTTGCTGTGGCTGCCGTTGTTCTGTTGTCCGATTGCATTTTCCCCTTCCGCCTCCGCCTATAATCTCGTCCAGAAGACCCATGTTCTCCCATGCGGTCGTTTCGGAACGCCGGCCGCTACCGCCGTGATAATTCGAGTTTGACTGTCCCTCTTGTTGTGCTAGTCCTGGCCCTGGTCCTTTGACAATAGTAGGAGCGATAAGCAACATCTGCCTTATGAAATTCAACTCGGAAACCACAGCACCATGCTCTTTCGCCACGAGTGGTTGTTCGTGGTTGACCAAGTTGCGAGCATCGGCGATTAGCCATCCCCAGCGGTTTCTAAAAGAGATCTGAATCTGGCCGCATCCATGGTCATGATGCCCCCGCGCTTCGGCAAAAGACCCAGAAGACTCAGGCCGCCCGGAAGTCGTCAATCTCTCCAGCAATTGACATACTCGGGCTATCTTCCCTCTTGCGCTCTCGATGATGTTGATGGTCCGCTGAAAGATGGCCGGTTTTGTCCTCAGAAGAGGCAGGTTTTCGTTACACAGCTTGATCAAGTCCTCGAGGTCGACAACACAGGTTCGTGCCAGCTCGAGACAGGGACGGACTGCGGTTACGGTGGAGGTGTGGTCGAGGGGGATATTGAAGAGGAGAGCTTTGTGAGAGGATGTGATGCCGGGGGGTATTTCCATTGCTTCCATGCTGGTGAGGAGAGAAAATCACCTAACCTTTAGGCTGGCGGGAAGTGGTGAGAGTGACGCCGGGGGCTGATTTGGGATTGCCTAGGTACCTCTGGCAAGCAACAAAGAAAGAGGTTCGGCGCAGCAAGTTAATTAGGATTGGACCCTGGAAATGAAGCGAGAGTCAAATTAAACATGCTCGGATCTTGGACCAGCTGTGTCGTGTGAGGAAATGAGAACGAGACAGCGGGGAAACCTGGAAGAACGGTTGGCCAGGTTGGCCCGAGACAACTTCAGCTGCAAGTCCAAGCTCAAAGCTGGGTGGTTCAGAACCCGTCTTTGACTATCGACCTGAGACGGTGGTAGCCAGACTGGTAACAACGAATGCCAATGAGCTCCTTTAGCGTACTGATTGGCCCATTCTGAGGGTGTTGACCTGAGAGCCTGATCTAACCTGGCTAGGAATTTCTAGTCGAGAGCAGCTGAGAAAGGATAGTAACACAGGGGGTGACACATAGGTAATAAAGGCATTCGTGGAAGCGTCTACGCAGATAGCTACCAAAATCTTTGATAAGCCTCGGGTTGAGGAGGCGAATAGTCATAAGAATAGACCGAACATGTTGCGATCAGTACATTACACCTTGGGTAAACACTTGGGACGCTTCCAAGCGTCTTATATATACCTTGCTTTTAAGCCTGATTTTGAGGCAGTTCTTGAATGGCATTATCTCTGGATGATTTTAGCCGATATGTTTCCAAATCATTGTGATCCCTATCACAGGTTTTTAACGGTCTTTCCTAGTCAAAGCGAGCCGTGCTGAACTGTCCATGTTCGGTTTATTTTTATGACGACTTCAGGAGGGGGTGGACATCCTCAAGGCGTTCTTGGTATTGAATGAGAAAATTGTGTGACGATGTGACAAAGTCTGGAACCTATTATAAAAGCCACAGCCGGCGTCTAATGGCTGCCTTCCTCCAATTTGGAGGTCTCACACTCAAATCAATGCAAGGCCCCTGCACGTCTGCGGCCACGCAGTGTTTACTACCTATGTACATGGGAAAGGGGTACAGTGTCGATGACAGCTAGTTCGCACATGTGAGAGCCTCGCCCGTTAGATGCGATGAGGAGGATCGCAGTAACTTTAGCCGGAACAAGATAGAGGAATTTGTGATCGCCCCTTGTTGGTTTAGAGATTGCCTAACGTTCAAATATGAAGGTGGAAACCAAAGGACACAGGGACTTTGGATGCGGTCGGCAAGTTGACCATCAGATGTTGTTGTAGAGGTTGGCCAACGATAGAACCCCATTTGCCTGCTTGAAAACTGCCAGTTTCTCGATATCCGAGCAGATGTATTACGCACCCAGTGAAATGTCCCTTATCCTCGTATGTGTACTCACTGCCTTTCCAAATTCCCACAACCTAAGCCGAACTGCCTCCCATCGATGAACGCGTGACAAGCTCACTCAGTCCGCTACCCAACCACAGGCGGAACAACCAACGTCCCACTCGTCTGCGCACTTCCACCCAGCCGCCTTCCATCCTTATCCGTACGCTTGACCAGACCAGCAGCGCACACTATCCCTTCTCGATAGCTGCGAACTGTGCCGGCCACTTGCTCGTGCCCAGCAACGTGCAACATACACCAGTCACTCGGCTGTGAAAACAGCAGGTACCCAAACTTGGCGCACTCGACAATGACCTCCCGCAAATGGCTTTCCTGCTGGAACCGAGCTGTGTCCGAGTCCTCGACAAAGTACCTCAGGAAGCTATTCAGCGCTTGCGCCATGGCAGCAGCTTGGGGCGCGAGCGCCGCGTCTGTTGGAGTCAAGGCTGTCCGCTGGCTGCGTTGAGGGTGCAACAAGAAGGCGGAGAGCACACGCCACCAGTGAAGGGCTAGGGTGGAAGCTATTCGGATTTCTGTTATCAAGATGGTTTCGAAAAAAGCGGATTGTGGGCGGTGATAATGCTGGAAGCACATAGGGGAACACGAACCTTGGGAATGCACCTGTCTTCTTACTCCGTGCTCTTCATCCATGGGAACAGACTGCAGAAACGCCGCAACGGGCGGGGGAAGCATGGACAGCGGGCTTCGGGCGCTGGGATCAATGCTCGTGAATATGACCGTGGATAAGACGTGCTGGAGAGCTATCTGCCTTGTGTTCGGATCCAAGGCAAATGAGACGATCGTTTCGGCTGAGGGGCCTTCAGTACTAGCTTCGCCCAAGCCTAGTTGGGAGAGGGCCGCAACAAGGCTCTGGCGATTTACACGTGTAGCATCCAAGGGGTGGAAGTGATAGTGGTTCTCGACGTGTTGCTGGATGAGGTGGTGTCGGTCGCGAAGCTCGGCGGCGAGCTCCTGATCGGAGAGGGAATCGAGGAGAAAGTTCTTCAGTTGGGGCATAACGTCGTCGTCCTGCTTTTGCATCCCTGGCCCAACCTGTGCGTAGGACGCATCTTTGGAGGGTGTCATAGCAACTTCGGTAACATCACCATGACCTCTGTGTCTTTGCCTTCTCCTCGAGAAGAAGCAAAAGGCGGCGGCGATACCGAGAAAAATACCGGCGATGAGGCAGCCGATAGCTATGCCGCCCGCTGCACCAGATGCCACTCCGCCTCGTCTTTCAGCCGGTGCTGGTGTAGTTTGGCATTGAGAATCACGATCGGGGCTGTTTCCACTGACAGCGGGACTGCAGGTTGGCGAAGAGCTAGCGTTGGATTCGGCCTCTAATACTACTACCGGTGCCGGTGTCAATTTCGATAGGAATGTGATCCCCTGGCTCTTGTCCGTGAGAGTGGTTGTGACAATTACCGTAGTAACTAAAGGCTGTGCCATGGTGAAAGATGAACAGGACAATGTCCAGAAGAACTCCGAGGAGTGACTGATTCTTTGCAACTGGTATGACCGGGCGGAGGATGGATTCCTTTCAATAAGATAGGAAATCATCAGGAAGAAACACCAGCCCAGGACCTCGTCGACGCAGGAGAAAATCCACACACTGTGTGATACACCTGCATAGTATTGTCCAGTGCATTTCAGCTGGACAGCCACAAAGCTGACTGATAATATTCGTGCCACATCTTCCCCATGTTCAAGAAGGGAGACATGGCAATAGGTAGAGCAGACCCTCGTGAACGGTCAGTCGCATCTATTCATCCAGCGATTGGCGGCCTTGTCTCTGTCGGATACGTGCAGGACAATCCCTGCCCGGGCAACCACTCCCAACAGCCGGTCATGATGTCGGAAACGAATCTAGACCACTGTTGGCCGCCCAACCTTTCATGTTCTGTTGTCTTCAAGGAGACATACAGGGTTAAGCTCCTGCTGGTTCCGTTACGTCTGGAACTTTGCCTCCGTGATGCATGTACCCTCGGACTTTTGGGTCTCCTCCCATATCAGGTAGTGAACTACGTGCTAGCTCAGGCCGTCTTCCACGCACTTAAGTTCAAGAGCCGAACGTTAACCCAAGTTCAACGGAAAAGGTACATTTACCTCAATAATCAGTCTTCAGCATAGCTTGCCTTGACATACACCAAGCAGTCCACCATACCGATCTCAACATGTACCCAGGTAGCCCGGATATTGTTGTCTCCGTCGACCTGGGCACAACATATACGGGCGTGGCATGGATGACCCCCAAGACCCCCATCCAAGTGATCAGTGACTGGCCCGGTAGCGGTGACCGAGGCGAACGCAAGGTGCCAACGACGCTGGTCTACAACGCCAACGGCACTCTCTCGTCATGGGGTTTCATGTGTGCCGACGACGAGCTTGAAGCTGGGGTTCCTGGTGGCGCGAAACAACGCCGGGAATTCTTCAAAATCTTCATGGACGCGGATACGCTAGCAGACGCGCAGCAGCAAGGCCTCACCAGCGCACCGCAAAGTGTCTACGAAGCGCAACAGTTCGTGACCGACTTTCTCCAGCAGGTCTATGTCCACGTCAGGGAGTCCATCGAGACGCAGATTGGACGACGTGGGATAGGAAACGGCTGGACAGACCTGGCAGTCGAGTTCCTGTTTAGCGTTCCCACCACCTGGACGAGTCAAAGTATCGTCAACTCATTTAAGAAGGTGATCAGAGAGGCAGGGTTTGGGGTTGAAGGCCCGAAGCACTCTGCCCAGGTCGACCTGACCGAAGCCGAGGCGGCGGCTGTGGCCACGCTCAAAACGAGTGCCGTTAGCTTCAGCATGGGGAGTGTCTTTCTCACTGTTGATGCCGGTGGCGGAACAACGGATTTGGCTCTGATGCAGGTTACCTCCTTGAATATGGCAGTCCCGCAGATGGCTTCCTTGCATGCCGTCAACGGTGTAGGGATAGGAGCTACACTGATCGACCGGTTGTTTATGCGCTTGGTACAACGGAGGCTGGAAGCCTGTTCGGATGCTGCGGCTCATATACCTCCTGATTTGCCCTTGCGCCTGGCGAGAAGCCACCAGTTTCGGACAGTGAAGCACAAGTTTGGCGAAAGGGCATACATGCAAGAGCTGTTCAGAATTCCAATCGAAGGGTTGGCTTATAACTTTAGCCACGCCGGGCTGGGGATTGAGAACGGGAGGATGGTTTTCACGCTGTGAGTATCTCTTGTCAGGCAAAGCCGTCTCGTGATTCCAAGGATGACCGGCTAACCTCGGAACAGTCAAGAAATGCAATCATTGTTTGACCCCCAAATTGAGGGCATCGTGAACCGAATCATGGGCGAGCTAGAATGGCTCAGAACCATGGGACACTTGCACCAGGTTCAATACATGGTCCTTTCGGGCGGACTGGGCAGCTCAGCTTACGTCCGTGACCAGCTCCAGCAGCGGTTCCTCGTCCACCAACATCCCAACGCGAGCGACCAAGTGGCAGTCATCCCATGCAATGACCCTCAGTTGGTGGTGGTGAGAGGCCTTCTCCTTGACCGGCAACAGAGATGGGAATCGGGAGGAGCCACCTCGGTGTTGTCAACCCGCATTGCTCGAGCAAGTTACGGCGTCATTGTCCAGCAGATTTATGTGCCCGCCATGCATTACAACGAAGACGTCCGCCCCGACCCATTTGAGCCGGGCAAGAGATGGGCTTTGAACCAAATCCAGTGGCTCATCAAAAAGGGCGACCAAGTAAACCCCAACGCGTTCTTGGTGAAATCCTTTCAGATCCGGCTTGCCGAAACGGAGACGACCAGGGCATGGAATTCTCAAATCGTCGTCTCCCACAATGCTCCGTCACAGTTACCCAGTAGCATGAAGCAAGGTTGGTATCCGGCACCCACCACGGTCATGTAGTCAATCCCTGGCTGACAATTATTTCAGATGGAGCGTATAAGCTTTGCGAGGTGAAAAGCAATCTGAACGGAGTCCAGCAAGACCAGCTTGTCAAAGTCAACAAGAGAGGAACTTGCTGGTCACGCGGGGTCACTTTCTACATCTGTCAATTTGATGTCAGAGTGATTGTAGCGCCGGCTGATTTGAGGTTCGAACTGTGGTTTGGTGGCCAGAAGTTCTCGGGTAACCACGAACCTATATCTGTCGACTGGGATCAAGGAGGGTCCAAGGTGAAAGGGATGTGATTGAGATGGCAAGTTTTGTGGTGAATCACGGGGGTGGACGTGGTTGCTTTGTTTGCATAAGAGTGGTTGCTGTGCCAAGATGGAGAGTTGGATACAAAAAAAAACACTGCAGCTTCGTCGCGACTCGTGCAGGTGGTGCCAGTAGTGGTGGTGGTATGCACGACCTCTAGAGAGTTAATAACTTGTCTCCGCGTATCCTGTATGTGAGTCTGTTAGTGGCTGTTAGCGTATACCTCGGTATTACCTCTTCATCTGCCTTTTCGGGATGGATCTCGCCTGCCACCAATGCCACCACCAAACATGAACCTGAACCACCTCAACTTCTCCGATAGGTCATGATGTTACCAAGCAATCTTTACAGTACATATCGCCAATACAAGCACGACACTGATGTCGTGGCCTCGTGGCTAGCCCAGACCGGAAAGACGCTGGGCTGCGCCGCCGAACTCATCGCTTCCAACTCGGCCTCTCCCGCAAATCCCAACCTCAAAAGCGCTCGCCTCAAGGGCAAAGCCCGAAAATCGGCAAAGCCTCATGCTGCTGCAGAAGCGCACGGGCAGGCCAAAGGCCTCTCGGAGAGGCAGAAGTATGTGCTTGCGCTCAAAAACTTTGTGCCGCTCGCCGAATTCATCGGTACCAAGTTGAGTGAGGCAAGGGTTGTTGAGATTCCGTCCGTTGTTCCAGTTGCTATCGAGCGCGCCATCACGGTGCGCAAAGGTTTTGCCCGGCTCCTCCAGGATCATGGCCGCGCCCTGGAGCTTGAGTCCAATGAAAACCACTCCTACTTCGTCTCAGTCTTAGAGAAGGTTCGACATATCCTCGAGCCTCTGTTCAGAGACTCTTGGGTCAGGAGGGCTCTCCCCAAGCTACCCAAGACAACAGCTAGCACCAATCCGTTTGATCTTCTCGAATTTTATGATGCTCCCGATTTTGACCTCGCAGGAGACTCTACAGGTAACTCGAAGGAAGCGGCCAAGGGCAAGGAAACCGTCGATGAGGGCGTCATTGTTGATTATGAAGCTGAAGACTCTGCGTCCTCTCTCGTCGCCTTTGCTACCCTCTTCCGCGATGTCCGCGCTCTCCGGATGCAGGTCAGAAGTCTATGGGCTGCCTATGCCAAGGGCGAGCTCTCTTTGCCTTCCGTGGCCGTTGCTACAAACACGGCCATCAATATTGCCCGATTTATGGAGGAAGATGCTGCTGATAGCGTCCGCTTAAACAGAGACAAAAAGAACCCCAAGGACTGGGCACTGTTTTACTGTCAAATGGCTACCAGTAGTCAGGGCATTGATATTACCGAGCGCACTCCAGGCTGTGACATAAATCTCAGCGCCTTTCCCATGCTGGACGAGTCCATGACCATCGCCTTCATTCTTCTCGAAGCATGGATCAGCCAGGCACGGGCGTCAAGCGAGGTGGTGACTTATAACGGCAAGTTTGGCTGGTATGATCTGACGATCGACTATGATTCGGCACCGACGGACGTCAAATGGCAGCAAGATAAAGCTGCTTTCTTGGAGGTTGCGCCCCAATTCGATCTCATGGGAAGGTTTAACACCACTCCGCCAGATGCCCTCCCGGAAGGATTGTATTCCGATATGCCCGTTGAGGACGAACTCTTGCGCGGGCTTCGCCTTCTCCTTACCCGGAAAGAGAAGGTTCTACCCTTCTGGCTCGCGTTTGCCACCACCATTCATCTTGATGTACGTCGCGTCCTGGGACGGCAGTCTGAGAAGCCGTTTTGGGCCATGATGCGGTACAATATGGCTATCGATGACAGTATAACCCAAAATTTGGAGTATTACGAGAACTTGACCATCAGTATGAATTGCCTTTTCAGTCCCCAGAACTTACAAAGCCATTGCTAACTGTGTACGGCAGAGGGCTGGGAGCAAATGCACGGCGACAGACAACTTATAAAACTCCAAAATGAGGCGCGCTGGTTCACTGAAAACCCACTCTACAAAGTTATCGAGTCCACAGGACTCCTAACCTCCCGTGACAACAAAGAACACACCTTTCTTAAGATGCATCCGCTTTTCTGCGGTCTCTGGATTCACTACATCCGCACAACCTACCACCTCCTTGCAACCCAATTCGAGCGCTGCTGGGGCGGGATCCTCTATACTGGCCATCTCTACAATGCCTTATGTAACGAGGGGCTGATCGACGACGCTGCGAAATGGGACGACATGGATCTCTTCTATCGTTTGCAAGGCGGTAAAGACAAGTTTTTTGTTGGCGCGGCACCCACAGAGCGGGACAGCTACCACAAACAGCTTTGCATGATGATGGGCTTCTCAGCAACGAGCTTTATCGCAAGCACCAGAAACAAGACACGGAAGCTCGTGCCCACTAAAGCAGGCCCACGCTCTCTTGTGGCTCAAGGTAAGGTATCCTCCATGTTTCATAATCAATACAGGCCAAGCATGGAAGGAATCAAGCTTTCTGTGGATGATGTGCAAGCGATCCTCAACAAGAAAAGTCAGAATCCACAGAAAACACCTCAGGCCACCCCATCGCAACTCATCCACCAACTGGCCCTTGACATTGAAGCCGAAATTCCCGAAACTTCAGTCGATTATCTTGCAATGCACAGACAATGCTGGGACTTTTTGCGCAGTCTCGAAGGCGCCGTGGATCCGTACTTTCGCCGGGTCGCCGGGCCAGGTTGGATAGAGAGGGAGCATCAGCTTCCCTTCGTGGTGGGCTACATATTCTCTACGGTGCTCGACCCCGTGGGAGGAGAAAGCAAAATGACAGAGTTCCTGGTCCTTGCTTCCAAAGTGTACAAAGAGGCGGTTGCACCCTATCGCAAGGACGTGACTTTTCACCTCGAAACTATCCAGGACTACGACAAAATGCTTTCTCACCCCGAAGACAAATTTCTGGGACCTATGCTGAATGAGTTGTCTCTTGAAGAACCAGAAGATGAGGAATGGGTCGATTCGGAATTTGAAGAGATGATGGAAGCCGATAGAGAAATAGACGCCATGTGCCGAAAGTTCGACCCGTTATGGGACGAACCGGAAGATTGAAGCTGGGCTGACTTCCGACCCAACGATCCCCCTCTTGACCCCCGTCTCCGAGAGGGATTCGGCCCAGGGGAATCGTTCAGATATTCATACGACGAGCCTGGCGAGCCTATCACGATGAGCGTGGAAGCCATGCAGCGGTGGATGAGAGTTTCGAGGGCATTGGAACGGAAGCCCAATGTGGTCTCGCAAAAGGATGCAGAGTGGTTGCGACTTGTCCTGAGGAGCCCTGAATTCCAGAACACGAGGCAAAGAGCTGATTGAGAACGTCACGCATGAGTCCAGCAAGATGCCGGCAGGCTTTGAATTAGACCACGGCGAGCCAGCTTGTTTCATAATGAGAACATGGCAATAAACGAATTGCTCTCACACTTGATCATGAATTGGACTACAGCACCCGAACCATTACCTGCTGAATGATCCATGTCAGGACAGCATCAGCAGGCCAAACATGCCTATATTCATAACACTCTAAATTGGGAGACTACTCGGGTCGTGGGAGCGTCTTTGGATACGTCAATTCATCGTTCATACTTAACATGAATTTTTCCGCAAGGGCATGCCTAGGCAAGGTCGGGATGGTGGGAAATACACGCATTACATGGGAGAGCGTAACAAATGTAGAGGTAAGTATGTGAAGAAAACAATGGTCGGTACCATGTTCATTGAGGTTATGTATGCACTTGCTTCATGTTCTGTAGTAGTCAATCCAACAATCCGGTTCTTTTTTTCTCTTTTTTTTTTTTTTCCTTTTCCCTGGTATGTGTCCCACATCTGGTACTAAGGTAACGATCAAGTTTGCGCGCGAACGCGATGAAGGCTTTTACCATTTCGGTTCCAAGTAGCTGCGAAGCTTTGCCAATGTCCGAGAGGCCCACGTGGTCTGTCTGGATGGTTTAGAATACTGGGATGGAGCGGAGGAGACCGGTTTCCCTTGTAGCATGGAAAAGGTTTCGCTGGGTGATGGGGAAACTGGCAAGACGGAGACATCCTTTGAGATCAATGCCAGATGAGACTAGATACAGGCTGTGAACTTAAGAAAGGAGGGAGCGCGCATCAACCCTGACACTGATGCGCCGTCGGTAGCGTGGCTTCCACCAGGGTGGTTTGAGGGACAGGAGGACGGGAGTGGGATGATTACTGCGGAAATTGGTGAGCGTTTGAGAATCCGCACCACACTCCCAGGCAACGCTGTCCTGCCTGCGAACTGAACCGCGAAACCTTGAAGAACAACATCGTTGCCTTTGTCCAAGAGCGCGGGCTCGATGGAGTCGATTTCAGTTGGGAGTATCCTGGGCTGGTGCAAGTACCCTGACCACACCTTCTTTGGTAGTCAAGTTGTTGGCTGTGCCTCCATTGCTAACGTGCTCCTGTCAGAGTGTCTGATGCCATGCCTTTCTTGGACGTAGAAGAAAGGTAATCTTTGTGAAAACAAAAACCTTTGTGCCTCAACTCTCAACCTAATAAAATTCTCTATAATAGGTTCCAATGATAATATTAAGACAGGAGGAACAGCTGGAGATGCGGGGACTGAGTTCTTGGATTGAAGCAGTCGTTGTTCAGGGGCTGGTGGTCAATGTAAACAAAAAGAGTACAAGAGTACTTCCTTAAGGCTTCCAGGTTGTGTTCCGCTTGCGCCAGTGCGCCTGCTGCCAAGCCTGCATTTCATCACCTACCTGCATGAGCTAAAGAGCTATCCACCTTATCCATTATCGCAGCGTCTCGAACGCGCTGCAACACCCTCCGAACCGCGCAACACCAACGGCATTTCCCCAAAAACATCATCAGACTTCACACATAACAAGCGACCCGTGACTGGATTGGAGTTGGCGTACTTGCAATGATGGATAACTCGGGTCCCAAAATGGGCGCGGCAGACGGCGCAGCTGGTATCCCATACTACGAAAAGCAGCGACAACATCTCAAAGAGCTGCTGAACAAGAAGAAGCTTTTGGAAAAACGTCTGGTAGGACTGCCGTCGGTCACAGCCACGAATGTCGGACTCGCCCGCTGATCAAGAACAAAACAACAGCTTGCGCAAGAAGAATCCATCTACCAAAAAGAAACCGAGTATCTCGAAAACACGCCAGCGGGCAACATCATTACGGGCTTCGACAACTACACCAAAGGCACCGCCAACGTCGCAGCACAGCGCAGGAAGACGGGATTGACAGACGCGAACCGTGTCTTCTCCAGGAGTTCGATATCGTATAATCCGGCGGCTGTGCGTCGTTCTGTATTCTCTTCCCTCCTCCTCCACCCTTCCACCCAGACAGACAGACGCTTTCCCGTCCACCATCACCGTCCTCTTCCTCTCGTTCGCATCCTGCCGCAATGCAATTCACTCTGCACACTTCGAATACGTCTAATTGAGGATGGCCATCACGGGAGAACTCTACCTTGCTAACTAGTTTGGAAAATCCACAGCAACAAGAATCACAAACACCCGCCTCTTCAGCCCCGGCTTCCCACGCGCCGACGCCGGTGTCTACATCGTTCAATAACAAGGACGGCGCATCGAGTGCGCCCACGCCCACTTCGGCCACGGCCGGTAAGGCGAACTCCAAGAAGAAAAAAGCGGCGACGTCAGGTGGTGCGGGAGTTGAAGATAGCGAGACGGATTCGAGAGAGACGAAGAAGGCGAGGACGAACTTTGGGGCTGTTCGCAAGTAAATCTGTTGTGGCCACGGGTGAGAAGAGTTTGATCTGGGTTGAGGTTGGGTTTTTGTGTGCGAGGGTTTCTCGATTCTGCATAGGAGGCAGTATTGGATGGTACATGGCGTTTTTGGATTGCTTGGATGGGTTGAATGGATTAAGCAGAGCGCGGCGTTTGGGGACGGGCATTGATATCAATTTTATTCGCTATTCGAAATAAGCCATCAAGACAACGAGTTTATCATCTGTTCGTAGCTGATGACCTGTCAATTTTTTATTTATTTATTTTTTGAGAAAGCGAGCGCAAAGAACGAGAGTTGGAGTTGGGACAGCATCGCATATGGTACTGTAGCATCCCTCAATCTGCAGATTCTGTCTCCCAAGCCTAGAGTAGATGCGTTGTCCACGAACCCTCGCGATCTCAGTATTACGCCCCAGTAAAGTAGGTTTCCAGGGAAAGCTAGTGAGATCTTTTGACCAAGTTGAGATGATGACATTTGATATGGCAACATTAGTTTGCACACTTGATGTCTAGATCGTGAGGTCTTCTATGAGAGCTGAGTGCAAGTGCCAGAAGCTGTGTCGCCTGCCAACTGCCAGCATGTGAGTTGTCGGTCCTGACGGGACAGCGGGGTGCGGCGGGCTTGGGTGTTGTCGGTCTACTCTTTTCCTGATTGGTTGAACTGAAGCGACCCACAGAAAATTGCAGTCCATGAAAATTTGCAGGTGCGCACAGACCGGGTGCAGCACCTCCTAGGAGGGTATAAAGGATGGTCCTCCCTCCCTCCTTTCCATTCTTCTTTTTCTTTTTTTTCTTCATGTCGACAATACTTCAGTAAGCCCCCCCCTACCTATGAGACATAGGGAGATGCACTCTTCAACGCATGACTCTAACCACACTGCACTTTACAGGAGAATCATTTCTATAGTATTTGTCCTCTTTTGTGTTCCCTAAAGGAGCCACAGATCCCACCGCGGTTGATGATCAATATCCTCGGCGCCCAACAGTGAGGTCCTTATTTACTTTCGCACTGCCTGCAAAGGTGGCGGTCGCTTCACGGCGACTGTATAGAGAGTGGCGATGATCTGTACCCCGATTTCCAGAGGTCTGCCTTCGGGCGCTTTGGCGGGGTGGGTGTCGATGGAAGTCTGACGCGCTTCCATCAAACTTTTTTTTCATTGCGACTTCTGGGCTTCGGCTCTGGGCGTGAAGAAGAATGTACCTACCCATTTGAACATTGCGTCAAAGCGCGCTTGTTTTCCCCTTCGTCTTGCTTCGCGTCTATTTGCAATTGTGTTCCTTTCCTGCATCCTTGGTTGCCATGAACCCGCTGGCTGCCCCTGCTGCTCAATTTGGGAAGTGGTCTGCGCTGCGTCGCGTTGATCTCAATGGTCTCGTTCACTTGTGTACTTGGGGCTTCCTGGACGTCAAGCGATCGTGGTTCGTCGAGCGCGCCGGAACTCTACTTTCTTCTGCCAACCACGGCCCATGAAAGGGCCTTGAAAACACATTAACAAGCTTCCGGCCGGTGAAGTTCCCGATGAGAATCATTGCTGTATGAATAAGTGCACAACATGTGTATTACGTACATGACGAGCGAGGTAAACTAAGCGCTGTCAATTACACCATGGTGGGGTGGGGTCACAACTTCCCCTCGATGCCTTGGCAACGACGGAGGCTACCCCTCACGGCGGAAACAACACGCTTGCAACCCTCACGGCGCCTTGTCTCTGTAGAAGCTACATCGGTGTATGCCTTATAAAGTAGCAGATGCCTAGACTTGAAAGAGGGGATGTGGTCGTTATTACTTCTTCACCCTTTTTGGAACTTGGTGCTTTCTTGCATCCTTCTCATATCAGCCTTTCCTGGCGCGGATGCCTCTGATATATCAATAGCAGTATCAAACATGACTCTTACAGCAACCAAGTTCACGCCCGAGGTACTGCTGACAGCGCCACGCCGTTCACCAGCTATTCCCAACGCCAAGGGCACCAAGGCGCTCTTTACAGTAAGTTGGGTTGAGTACAAGATGGATTCGCGTAACCCATAACAAAAATGTGGATGGACTACATGTGAATCTGAGAAATGATGGGTGGGGGTTGTGTGTAAGTCCTGTCGCTGACCAGAGCCTTGACGACACAAAGGTGACCACGTACTCGTTCGAAACACACAGGAAGACTTCCCAGATCAGACTTCTGGATATTGAATCTGGCCAGTCAACGCTCCTTGTCGATGACTTGAGCGCTAGCGAACCGACATGGATTGGCGACGACGAGTTCCTCTATCTCAAGAGTGGTGAGAAGGGCAACACCACCGTCTTGGTGGACAAGATCGCGCGCCCAGGATCTCAGTAGGAGAACCCTTCGATAATGAACAAGTTCACAATTTGCTAAACATGGCATCTAGAGCATACGAGGTCACCACGATCAAGGCCCGGATCTCGAACATCAAGATCAAAGAGCTCACGAACGGCACCGTCGCTTTTGTGTGCTCCGCTTCCGCTACCCCTGATGGACAGCTCTCCAATCCCGCCACGGCGAAGAAGCCATATTCAAGCGCCAAGGTCTATACCAGTCTCTTTGTCCGCCATTGGGACGAGTGGCTAGGAGAGGACAAGAACTCGCTTTGGTATACTGCGTTGGAGAAGAAGAACGGTCGCTTTACGCTGACGGGTAACGGTCTTGTCAACGCCCTGGCAGGGTCGAAGCTTGAATCGCCAGTACCGCCCTTTGGAGGCACTGGTGACTTTGATATCAGCCCCACGGGATTGGTATTTGTCGCGAAGGACCCCGAGCTCAACCCTGCCCTCTACACCAAGACCGACCTGTACTATGTTCCCCTCAAGACCTTCACCGAGGAGCAGCCACCTTCGCCCCAGATTGTCGAGACACCTGGCCTGGAAGGCTACACCAACAGTCCGGTCTTTTCACACTGCGGTCGCAAGGTGGCGTTCACCCGGATGCGCAGCAAGCAATATGAATCCGACAAGCCCCGTCTGGTGCTTTTACCTGATATTGGCGATCTGAGCAAGACTGAAGAATTCTTCGCATCGGATGACGGCGAAGGAGCGTGGGACTATCGCCCCGAAACTATTCTCTGGAGCGCCGATGACAAGTCGCTCTATGTGACAGCCGAGAAGAACGGCCGTGTCCACCTATGGGAGGTCCCTTCCAACCCAGCTGATGCCAAGGACACTCCCTCGGTAATCAAGACCGCAGACGGCAGCGTCAACGATATTAGACTCCTCGCCGAGGCCGAATCTTCGTCAAAGCTCCTGGTGTCTAGTACCTCTCTCGTTGATAATAGCTGCTACAGCATCGTCAATCCATCCGCCAACTCCACCGATATCGTTTCGTCGAACTCTAAGCAAGGGAAGACGTTCGGTCTGTCCAGGTCGAGCATTGGCGACATCACATTCAAGGGGGCTGGTGATTACGACGTTCATGCGCTCGTGGTCCGCCCCTCGAATTTCGATGAAAAGAAAAAGTACCCCCTTTGTTTCTTGATCCACGGCGGCCCCCAGGGTGCCTGGCAAGACGGATGGAGCAACCGCTGGAATCCGGCCGTCTTTGCGGAGCAAGGCTACGTTGTCGTGAGCCCGAACCCGACAGGAAGTACGGGTTATGGCATGGCTCTCCAAAACGGAATCAAGGGCCAGTGGGGTGGCAGGCCGTATGAGGATCTGGTCAAAGCGTTTGAGCATATTGAGGAGAACATGCCGTACGTAGATACGGACAGGGCGGTCGCATTGGGTGCTAGTTATGGTGGTTATATGATCAGTGAGCTACTCCGGGGATGTCCAAATACGATGAAGGACCGTGGATGGGTACTAATATCTCGTCGCAAACAGATTGGATCCAAGGCCACCCTCTCGGACGCAAGTTCAAGGCACTCGTCTGTCACGACGGTGTCTTCAGCACCCTGAATCAGTGGAGCACCGAGGAGCTTTTCTTCCCCATCCACGACTTCGAGGGAACCATTTACGATAACCGCGCCGGATACGAGAAGTGGGATCCCGCTCAGCATGTGAACGAGTGGGCCATACCGCAATTGGTGAGTTCAACTCTTTAACAAACATCATCATTTTCTTGGGGCTGCCTGGCACTCATACTAACCACACATGCCTTTCGAATTAGATCATCCACAGCGAACTCGATTATCGTCTCCCCATAACCGAAGGCCTCGCGCCCTTCAACGTTCTCCAATCCAAGGGAATTCCCAGCAAATTAGTCATGTTTCCCGATGAGAACCACGTAAGCAACATCTCTTATAAACAAATCCTCAATCGGAATTTCCGTGTAGTGGCAGTCTAGTGGCAGTCACTGCCATAATTTAATTGCAAGATCTAGATCCTTCAAAATCCCAGCAGCGGCCATCAGTCCTCCTCCCTCACCTCCTCGTTACAACGTGCTCAAGAAGCCTGGAGTTATGAAGCAAGTGAAGCAAGCGCTTTGCCATCGCTTACCCCCAAGTACCTTTCCCTCACCTCCCACAGCCCATTTCTCAATCTCGACGGGATAACAAACTCAGCAAACGAAATCGTTAATGCTAACCAACGGCGACCGAAAACCAAAAAAAAGTGGGTTCTAAAGCCAGAGAATAGTCTTGTCTGGCATGAGCAAGTCCTGGCATGGATCAACAAGTACTCGGGCGTGGAGAAGGAGACGCAGGAAGTAAAGGAGATTGCCATTGTGGAGGATAAGAGGCAGAAGACGATGTAGGAAACGGCTTTGTTGTTTTGGTGAGCATGAATGAGTCCATAGGTAGGTATACGACTATATGAGGTTGGCTGGGTGGTGGTGGTGGTGGTGGGTGGTAATTGTGATTTGTTTGATTCCTTGGTTGAGTGGCGAGACGTTTGACACAATAATGGAAGAGCACCTCGGATGTTGGAAAATAACTCTACCTCTTAACGATGGATGAGTGGATATACATTCTCAGGAGCTCCGACAGAAATGTTTTGCTTTGCGGCTTTTTTCGAGGTTGGATGCCGTTGTTAGCTCGAAGGAAGGTGTTGCATATTCTTTTTTTTCTATCCCCTCCCCTCTAGCTAAGCGTAGTGTGCTTCGTGCTTCGGCGATTCAATTGCTAATGTCGCCGTTCTTGTTCTTTCCTTACTACTTAACTTGCTGAACGAAGCACCAAACCTGAGTTTTTTTTTCGGCCTTCTAGCCCCTGAGTGTACTGGTTGGTGCAAAGAAGAGGTGGTTTTACACCTTAGAGAACACCGAGGGTGCCGCTTGTCTGTAAGACGAAGTGGTCCCGTGTTATGTTTTTGGGCAGGGAACGACATGAGAAGAGGTAAGGAAGCAATGCTGGAGTCAGATGCCCTTGATGGAAGCAAATGGAGGGCCCGGATCATAAGAGAGGATGTGATTTTCACCCGAGGTTTCTCTTTATCTCAAACTTCACATATTTGAGCTTTTGTCCTCGATTCATAGCTACGCCTCAAGTGACTGTCCATTTCGATGATCCCGAAACCTTTCGGTTTGACTGTGGCAATTCATAGCCTACGACTGGGTAGTAGTCGTCTGCTTCGATAATATGGAAACTTTCCATAATGCCAGTGGGTGCAGTCACAACACCAACACAGCGTGACACGGGCCTTCCATCCCAAAGCGTTTTTGGCCATAATGATTTCATTCAATGTTCCCTTCCTTCTGCTTTTCATACAAGGCATGAAACTATCGTACCATCCATCGTTCGTTCCTACTTTATCCATCTGAACTGTACGCTCTCGCTCCCTTCAACTTTTCCGAACACATAACCAAAACAGCAAGGGAACCTAGCAAGACACAACGAACTAAAAGAGTATCATTTCAGACCGGTGAAGATAAAGTAATCACGATGGAATGTTTCCAGTGTGAAAGAAAATCCGGAAGCGCCACAAACGCCACTTAGTCGCTGTTGACGACAGCGACCAAACAAGAGAGATATAGAATGCCAGACGAAGAGAGACAATCGACACGATGAACCAAAAAAGTATAAAGGAAAGACATCATCAAGAGACAAAAAGTGAAATACAGAATAGCCGCCCCGCTTCTTCCTCTCCGTTCTCGTACTCTCATCCTCCTCTTCCTCTTCCCCCTCCATGACTGACCAACTAGACTTGACAAAGTGATATCGTAACCACCACATCAAGACAAATGATGTTTTTTGTACAGGGTA